ACCGGAATGTGTTGACGAATCTCCGAGCCTCTATACCCAAATGAGCCGACCGGATATGAAACACTAAACAATTAATTAATCTTGCTAAAGAGCTTTCCTCCGCCAGACTTGTTTTCCTGCATAAACTGAGGACGTCTCCTATATATGGACGCTTTGCCGAAACTTCCATCTCGGCTATCCGCATCTTACGAAATTGCTGGCTTCGCGTTTTACGAAAATCCGTGACTGGGAATTTAACAAATGCAATATATCTTCTTGTTTCGATTTTTAGGAACTAAGGTATACCTTCCTAAATTTTAGATATTTTTCCTACTTTTTTGATATACTATATGTATGTCCGATCTGCTTACTTATGTTCTTGGTCATAATATATTCACCTATATATTTTTTTCGGAGGTAGTTAATTTTTTTACAAAATACTTTAGTCTTTAAAGCAGTAATTCCTATAATAAACAACTAAAAAATACCCAGAATGGGGCATAAGCTAATTCATTACCCAAAGACACGTTGTCGAGATAAGTGAATTTGGAAAAAGACACTCCTGAAATATCACGAAGACAGCTAAAAGAACAACAGCGGAAAAGACTACATTCCTTTTTCCACTACAAGAGCGTACGGTTTCCCTTCGAGCACTTTACCCGACTGGGGAACACATTTTTCACGAAATCCATAAAACTTTGCCGGGTATTAATTTCACCTTGGGGATCGTTCATTTATTGATTCGGCGGATTCGTTGTTTCCGCTGTGAAGAAATCTTATCTCACGAATTAAATTGTTAACGATAACAGGACAAACAAAATTAATATAAACAGAATCACGTTAACATTGATGCAATTTAAATTGCTTATCCAAAAGGCGACACTTCAAATTACCTACTTAAGGAAAAAAAATCATATCTGATTCAACTTTTGCGTTGTTTGATTTAAAATTCAATTTAATTCTTTTATGCTCATCGCGTATTAAATAAATACAAATATCACGCACAAAATACCAAAAGCCAATTTAGTTTTACCGTCGGTTCCCGTTCAATTCTCGAAGTCTGTTTGTATTCGTCGGAATCACGAAAATCTTTAGTCTTAATTGCATTTACACTCCAGTCGGTTGATTTTCTTTGAGGGAAAAATTCGAATCCAAAGATACGAAGGCAGACAATATTTTATCTCACGTTCGTCTTCCGCTCAAACGTGCTGAAAATGCCGCCGATCGCAAAACGAATTCCTCCAATTCCTCTTAATTCAGAGCTCGACCCATTTATTTTCGCCGGCCATTAATTACCCTCTTTTTCAATTAAGCAATGTTGATGAATTATCGAATCGATATTTCTCAATTTAACTTTAAAGGACGTAAAAAAATAGAAATAAAATAAGAAAGTAAATATGTAGTTTTGGTTTAGTAAAATTTCAGTGAAAAACCTTTCAAATTACATTAAAATGATTGATTGATTGAATGATTAACGACTGCATCAAACGATTACATCAATTGTACCTTACCTATTATAGGATATAACGATCGAACGCGCAAAACGTTTTATTTCAACCCTAGTTAACGTTAACATGTTAGCTACCCTTGGTAAATAGATGGCATCTGCAATTTGCTGCCAGAAAATAAGCCCTACAAGCTCCTTCCATACGCTTAATTATGTATCCATTTCCGTTCTGGAACGTGGAAGTTCACCGGAGACTATTAATATTGACTGTGGAGTAGACGGGAGTAATATCAAAGCAATAACTTATAACGGTTTACCTTAATCAGTGCTTATGTTAAGACTCCGGTCTCTTGACAATGTTATACAAGATTTGAATGTAAATTAGATCATTTAGAAAAGATTTGTGGCAAATAAAAAACACATATACATATACGCCTAATTAATTATGAAGAAACAGGAATAGATACCTACCGAAATTTAAGCGAAACAGGTATGTATATTCGGCAGGCGAAACAATAGGTAATTCAGAAAATCCATTGGTTTTGGATGAAAATTTATGTATCTGACTACAATTTTTCAAATTTGCGTCCGTATTCGACTACTAAGCCGCCACTGAATGCATGAAAATTGCAGTTTATGCAGATTACCTTCCCTGGAGAAATGTATACACCGTATGGAATTAATGAGTTTTGGAAGTTGGCTACATACTGGTTCCGGATTATTTATTGTGATGTTTGCGGCGACGCGACGCCACTCACCGACGCACAAACCAATAACTAGTATGCAAATAAAATGTGTTTTATGGAAAACGAACTTTTCCGCATACTATAATAGGAGACTGGCTAGACTCACTTAGACTGAACTAGTTCATAAACGATTCTATACAAAGTAAAATCAATATTGTACAAAATTACATTGAATTAACTAATCCGAATAGTACTACATGCACAGTAGTTACCAGAAATACCACCCTATACAGGAAACAAGCCTAAACACAATAAAATAGCCATACACATAAAGATAACGCTTTGAGGCATAACAAGGAGTGACGAGTCGATGACCGGTGGAAATTGAGGGAACTTTTTTTTTCAGGTGTTGCATTCGGTACGACACACCTGTAAGTCGCGTTTAATTGGTCTAATAGGTTCGTATGAAATGGTAATATTGAATGATTAAATAGGGTTTACGGGAAAAAATCTGTTCTCTATAAATTTTTGATTTAAAAACACAAACGAACATTTTCGTTACTACATTTTAATATAAAAAAGAACTAAATCTTTGGATTAAAAACAACAATATTTCTATATAGATATAGATATATCTAATATAAATACAGGGTGACCCAGGGTCGCGTTAAAGTCCCATAACTTTTTACCTAATTGAGATATCGACTTGATTTTTTTTTCAAAAGGTAGGTACAATAATACTGCATATTATTAAATTAGTTTCGTCTATATACAGGGTGGCTCAGTATTAGAAATTCACTAAAGTTACCTTTTTTTTAATGGAACCCCCTATATATTATAACATTTTTGAATTCTTTAGTGAATTTTAGTGTGACTTTATGTACCATACATTGTACCTAAAACCAATCGTTTAGTGGCAATTCGAAATTTTCGAAAAAAGTAGAGGTTTGAAAAAAAATGAATATTGCCGCTTTTGTAAAACTTAGAAGGTCGTGACTCTGGGTTATTAGTAAACATGAAATGTACTACTGTGTGACATGGATTCATAATTGAATACTGTTTGTGTTCTTAGATATCGATAGGCAAATTTACAAAATTTCAATTAAAGGTAACTTGATTTTTTTAAATGAAACTACCTACTTTTTTGTACACCATCTTGTAGAAAATTTTATTGCCTTTCTAACGATATAACATTGTCAATGTTTTTACCTGCTAGTTTTCTTTTAATTCCGGAATTTCTTAATTCCGGTAATTCGCGGTAATTTTCAATTTTCAATAGTACTGTTCAAACTGGCTAAATATTGTAAATTAAATTAATTTAAAACAAAAATTTTATAAAAGATAGTGAATTATAAAAAAAGTATACAGATCAATCAACTACAATTTATTTGATTATAGGGAGATAATGATAATGTACAAGGAAAAATTATTGGTATAATGGTAAAGAACAGTTTTTTTGATAGCACCATAATTTTTCTTACAGTAGATGCTCAAAGATATTGCCATTATGTTCGATGCATACGTCCAGTCTTCTTAAAAACGAATTTTTGACGCGCGTTAGCATGTTTTGATCAATTGATCGAAAAGCGTCTCTTATCCGGATCTTCATGTCGTTAGCTGTTGTTGGCCTGCCCGTTCCCGCGATTTGACACCAATTGATTTTTTCCTATGGGGATTTATTAAGGACAATGTCTAGTGTTAGGCCGTGAAAATTACCGCGAATTATAAGAAATTCCGGAATTAAAAGAAAACTAGCAGGTAAAAATATTGACAATGTTATATCTTTAGAAAGGCAATAAAATTTCCTACAAAATGGTGTACAAAAAAGTAGGTAGTTTCATTTAAAAAAATCAAGTTACCTTTAATTGAAATTTTGTAAATTTGCTTATCGATATCTAAGAACACAAACAGTATTCAATTATGAATCCATGTCACACAGTAGTACATTTCATGTTTACTAATAACCCAGAGTCACGACCTTCTAAGTTTTACAAAAGCGGCAATATTCATTTTTTTTCAAACCTCTACTTTTTTCGAAAATTTCGAATTGCCACTAAACGATTGGTTTTAGGTACAATATATGGTACATAAAGTCACACTAAAATTCACTAAAGAATTCAAAAATGTTATAATATATAGGGGGTTCCATTAAAAAAAAGGTAACTTTAGTGAATTTCTAATACTGAGCCACCCTGTATATAGACGAAACTAATTTAATAATATGCAGTATTATTGTACCTACCTTTTGAAAAAAAAATCAAGTCGATATCTCAATTAGGTAAAAAGTTATGGGACTTTAACGCGACCCTGGGTCACCCTGTATGTATATTATATCGAAAACCGAAAATTCGCACGTATTCACCACAAATTACCAGCGCTACCCCTCCAAAAAACTTTTCAAACGGTTGCACAGGGCAAGTTTGAAAATTGAAATCTACTCTGAGTCACTCTGTATTTATAAGAAACGTTTATAATACAATGAAAATTGCAGTAGATATTTATGATTATATAGTTGAGCACTTGAAAGGGACAAAAATCAAGTAAAATACAATGATTTATTTGATAAAAATTTTAGTATAAATAAAGCAAAATAATGTCAAGTTTAAACATTCGCAATATAATTCGTAATATAACGGTATAAGTGAATTAAAACGAAAAGTTAATGTAAGTAGCCTCAATTTTTTTTTAATTTTCTCGATATATAAAAAAAGAATAGAAGAATTCATATTTTCTTATCCCTCTCTTACGACTATTAATACAAAAAAGGTAAATTTAAAAATTAATTATAGATCCGATTAGGTAACATTCCCATAAACTTCACATAGATTTTATATCGACACACACATATTATTAAGGCTAATTATATTTAATTTTTAAAAAATTTTAGAATGTCAGAACCTTTGGAAACAGAAGACTTTTTCATGCATTTATGCAGTTTAGCAGCTAAAAGAAGCAATGATCCCGTTACTCGTGTAGGTTCTGTCATAGTAAATGAGGACAATATTATTGTTGGTGTGGGCCATAACGAAATGCCTAAAAATTCCAATAAGTTTTCATGGGAGAAAGATAATCCAAATCCTTTGGAAAACAAGGGTCCGTACGGTTAGTAAAGAGTTTCAAATCGATCCTACATCGATTCAAAACGATCCTACAAATTTTATTTTACAGTTTGCCATGCAGAACTAAACGCTATTGTAAACAAGAATGCTGCCAACCTAAAAAATTGTAGAATTTACGTCTCCATGTTTCCGTGTAATGAGTGTGCTAAGCTCATTATTCAGTTAGGAATAACTGAAGTTATATATTATTCCGATAAACGAGCCAATAAAGACTACACTAAAGCTTCCAAACGAATGTTTCGGGAGACAGGTGTGAAAGTAAGGTAAATATTCGATATATTTTTGCAGGGTAAAAAGAGGAGAATTCATGTGGTAAACAGGACTATACAGGGTGGCCCAGAACTCACGCCCCGCCGGGAAAGGCCTTATGGAAACGACAATGGAGATGCTAAAACTGCACCAGAAACATGAAAATGTTTTTCCTTTGGTAAATAAAGAGGTTGAAAATCGACCAATCCCAGTAGCAGGTCAAATTCACGAAAATGACATGAATTAGCTATAGGTACACCAATTTGACATTTTAAAGATTCTATGTCCTTTTCACTTTCAAGGTTAACAAAAGCTGCCAAACTCAGCTGCGACTATTGGATCAATGATTTGCTTCCAAATCGATCATTCAGGAACTCCGCCGTCCTGATACCAACCGTATAGAATTTTTTATTGCTTCAAAAGTGGTTCGAATCAAATGATCCATTTTTTGATCGATTTTAGCATATGTATATGAACTGCTACTGGGATTGGTCAATTTAAACCTCTTTATTTACCAAAGGAATAACTTTTTCATGTTTTCGGATGCAGTTTTGGGATCTCCATTGTCGTTTCCATAAGGCATTTCCCGGTGAGGCGTGAGTTCTGGGCCACCCTGTATATGATTTAAAACACGTCGAGTATAAACCGGATTATGTCCCTTATATAATTAAATAAATAATTAAATTCTCATTTTCAGGCAATTCTCACCAAAAAATGAAAAAATTTCAATTGATTGTGACGAAATTAACGGTGATAAAAGTAGAAAAAGGAGACGACCAGATGAGAGTGACAGTTAATAGACAATATTATTTAGCACTTTTTCTATGCCGGCATTAGATCATGTTCAGATTAGGTAGTACTTGTAAAATGTATTCGAAAACAGAAAAAGATTAAAAAATTATTTATTGTTCAAACTTTCAATTAATAAAATGCTTTACAAAATACCGAGCGGCCAAGTTCGAGCGCTGCATTCGTCCGCCGATTCATCGCGCCGAAGCCGCGCCTCTCCTTCAGTTCGACTGATTCTCTCTTTCTACTGATTGTATGTGAATCAAGCTAGCACCCCCACCTCGACTAAATTGAAAAAAAAGTAGTCTATAATTAAGAGCTAATTAAAGGCTAATTTGTACCACAAAAATTAAAATTTGTACCACCGCGATATATCGAGAAAAACTGCATTGAAAATGGGGGGTGAAAATTATAAAAATTTCTTATGTGGTACAAATTTGCCTTTAATTAGTTGCATAATGTTGTATATTAACTTTTTGATTTGACGAAAGTGGGGGTGCTAAGATTGTGGAGCAACGACAATCATAGCTTTCTATTTAATTTTTTGATGTTATTAGATCAATCTATCTATCTAATAATAAAATAGAAAAACTTTTTGTGGTACAAATTAGCCTTTAATATCCCCTACATTTTGATCCATTTGATTTTAAATTCGGATAAAGTGGGGGTGCTGCCTTGAACTCACCATTTTCAATGCTGTTTTTCTCGATATATCGCGGTGGTACAAATTTTAATTTTTCTGGTACAAATTAGCCTTTAATTAACTCTTAATTATAGGCTACTTTTTTTCAATTTAGTCAAGGTGGGGGTGCTAGCTTGATTCACATACTGATTGTAGCGCTCGAACTTGGACGCTCGGTATGTATTTATAAATATATTATCTCATCTAATATCAAATTTTACCTGATTAGTTTTCGTTTGCCTATATAAGTATTAGTTCAATAAGATAGTAAGTTGTTATCTAGGTATTTGAAAAATTAGTATAAATACATACAACTATTTAGGGCTTGGTAGATTTTGTTTTGGTTTTGCTGTGCAAATTTTTGGTACCATATAATCGAAACAATAATGTCAACTTCTAAATCCACCAGGTATTCAACATATTTTAATTTTTTAAACTTAATAATGTTTTTAAACCGTTTCAGAATGGACGTTAATAACGACGAATCAATTTGGAATGAACATTTAGGAATTAATGGAAAGTATGTCCTAAAAGGGGATGAGTATTTCATGGCAATAGCCTTATTAGTAGGTAAAAGAAGCGAAGACCCCAGCAGTCAAGTTGGTGCTTGTATTGTGAATGAAGACCAAAATATTGTTGGAGTAGGTTACAACGGAATGCCTAACGGTTGCGAGAACAAATTTTCATGGGAAAAATATGCAGATAACCCTTTAGAAAGAAAGTACATGTATGGTAAGTACATGAGAATTATTTTAATGTAAAATTCGTCAATGGTTGTTCACCATAAATAAAATGAAGAGAAAATTATTTTTTTATGTTTTAAGTTTATGCTTGTTGTTTACGATTTCTGATATTATTTTAACTACACTTACAGTTTGTCATGCAGCAATGAATGCTGTAGTCAACAAGAACGTAATCAATTTAAAAAACTGCAAAATATACAATGTGATATTTCCATGCAATGAATGCGCAAAAATTTTAATTCAATCTGGAATTAAAGAAGTCGTATTTTTATCAGACAAACGCTGTTACAAGAATGAAACTATTGCTTCTAAAAAATTGTTTGAGGCTGCGGGTGTAATAACCAGGTACTTTTGAAATTTTTCTATGAATTTTATGTAATTCGACTAATAAATTAATCCACATTTTCAGGGAATTCAAATATGATCCGGAAAATTCAAAAATTGTCATTGATTTTTGTGAAATAGACTGGGACAATAAGAAGAAAAGACCATCAGTACAAAATGAATGTGAATCAACTTCTAAAAAAATGGCAAAAAACGATAATGCCTAAAAAATTCTACACTAGGTTATATCTTCAAAATTATATTTTTCTACAAAGGGTATAGTATATAATTAAAAAAAATTAAATATTTCAGATGGTAAACCATGTATGTATATTCTTACAGCAATTATTATTCATTTTATTGAAACATAAGTGCAATTCTAAATTAAATTATTTTTTATACATTCAGTCAATTAATTTTGTTTTCCAATATTTAAAGTATTAAAAAATATTTACTGAATATTATGTAGAGTAACTTTACCTCATCTTATGGGAGTAATAGACTATGAATTAACATTTTATATGTGCAAATACTATAGAGTACAGGTAGTTAATATAGGTTTTTATCAAGGTTATCTTTTTAACTGATAAAATAAAAATTGTGTACCTAGTTACTTCCATTATAACAAAAGCATACAAGATTGGCTGCTAAATATTCCCTCAATTATAAAACTGTATTTGTACATAAAATATTCTCAAATGCACAAATTTTATACTAGATCAAATAGGTATTATAGATATAGTAGATTGTAAAAATATGAATTACTAAATATACTAAATAATACCAATAATAGCATATCTGTGTTATTGGAAAGAAATGGTACGAAATATAGATATAATAAACTAATATTGGAATAATGTTGTTAAGAAACATGAAACTTTCATAGCAAGTAAATTAGAATCAACAAATGTAATTTCATTGTTTGTCAACAAAATTGTACATATAATCATAACATTATAATTCTTACCAGTTGCAGGACCGTGTTGACAACTTCTTTATTAGAAACTTGTCCCACTTCGATAAGTCCTATTAAAACAGCGAATTTAAGGCTATCGTTCATAGCCATTCTCACAACTTCTTCGGGGTGTTTTATATCACTAAGGGGGGGTTTCGATAAATCCGCCATCCCGAACAGTTTATTATTCTAATTTCGAAAATACACACTAATATTATACTTAATCACTACATTTACACAAAATACGGGAAGTTTTCCGATACATGAACATAGCACGATCTACCCTCTGCCATGTTGGAAAATGACAGTAAAATTTTGACACATGACATTTTCTATTCCGTTTCTGACACTTGACAGGCCGGTAATCAATTTTATTACTTTTCTTTGATAAAAAATTGGTAAGAGACCAATTTGCTCGTACATCAAAGATCAGAATTTTTTGTGGAAAAGAAGATTTACCGCCTTTGGTGTTTAAAAATCAAAGTTGACATGACATAAAACTAACCTTGTTATTTTTCGATGTTTTTATTTTCAGCCGATTAGAATGGTAACTATTCAAAATGCGTCTAGAATTACTGAAAAATCAAAAAATGCCGGTTTAAATTCTTACAGCGTCGAAGTTTAGCTCCCACTCAAAGATTCAAAGCCGAAAATGCACCTAATAGGAACAATTTTGCACCTCCATATACAGCGAAACGAACGCGAAACCGCTCTAATACTGAGGATACGGAAGATCGAGAAAATTGCAAACGTTCTGCGACAGAATCCAATACGATATCTACTGTTTTAAGTAATCATGTAAGTTCGTGTGAAATCGTGTATTTCTGAGTCCTCTTCATTAGCACACTTTACAGGACTTTAATCATTTTGGTCTATTTTTCATTATGTCTAATTATGTGAATTTTCTTTTTTATTAGGAAGAATTCGTCAAGATTTTATCGAAGCCTTTCAAGTGCCCCATCGCGAATTACCAAGGAAATTACACCACAAAGACCTTGGGCATTAAGAAAACGAAAAAGAAGCGAGCCCTTTACGATCCCAACATGCCCAATGCTTTAGTTTTGTATTCCCCACCTGAACTTACCCAGCACGAACAACTCAAATCGAGCAATGGGTAATTACCCAAATTCTTACCACTGAGCATTAATTCGTTTGTATTTTAGGCCAGTCCTCGTTCACGTCGTCGTCGATCCGCTTTTAGGCAACATTTTGAGGCCCCATCAGAGAGAAGTCTCTGAACTTTTAATACAAAACAATATTTACAACTAATCAATTGATTTTTGTAGGGGGTGAAATTTATGTACGATTGCGTTACGGGCATTCAAATACCCGATTATTACGGGTGCATCATGGCTGACGAAATGGGGCTGGGTAAGACTTTGCAATGCATAACGCTGTTGTGGACGTTATTGAGACAGGGACCAGAATGCAAACCCACTATTAATAAAGCTATTATCGTATGTCCTAGCTCTCTAGTGAAAAATTGGAGTAACGAAATCGATAAGGTTATTTGATAATCGATTATTTATTGGAAATAAGTAGTCTTGTAATTTTGAATTGTTCAATTTTCATTTAATTGCAGTGGTTAAAAGGACGTTTATCATCAATAATGATGGATGGTGCCGCTGACAGTAAGAAAAAGCTACTACAATTCATGCAAGACCAAGGTAGATCCGCCATTCCGGTTCTGATAATCTCCTATGAAACGTTTAGAATGCAAGCAAGTGTGCTCCATAGCAGAGAAATAGGTTTAGTGTTGTGTGATGAGGGGCACAGGTTTGTTTTTTTCATAAAATATTCGCTATTACTAAATGTTTTAATGCGTTTAAATTTTAGATTGAAAAATTGCGAAAATCAAACGTACAGAGCTCTAATGGGGCTGAAGGCAAAAAGAAGGGTTTTACTAAGCGGTACTCCGATTCAAAACGATTTATTGGAATATTTCAGTTTGATACACTTCGTTAACGAAGGTTTGCTGGGCAACTCTTCTGAATTTAAAAAGAAATACGAGAATTACATTCTAAGAGGTGGGCAATGCTAAAAAACTATCATTATCTTATTTATTTTACGCTATTTATTTTTGTTATTATTTTAGGACAAGATTCGACTGCCACCGACTTAGAACGCCAACATGCTTCAGAACGACTGCTGGAACTCACGACCATAGTAAACAAGTGTCTAATTCGTAGGACATCCTCTCTTTTGACCAAATATTTACCCGTGAAATTCGAAATGATAATCATATGCCAACTCACGCCGATTCAGAAGCAGTTATACCAAAACTACATCAACTCCGAATTTATAAAGAGATCAGTAAACGAAGAGGGCAAACCCGGAAATACTTTGAGCAGTTTAGCGAGCATCACAACTTTGAAAAAGCTGTGTAATCATCCCGATTTGATAATCGACAAAATCCTAGAGGGAGCCGAGGGTTTCGAGAAAAGCAGAAATATTTTGCCCCCCAAAAGCGGACAGGACGATGTCAGACCCGAACTCTCCGGGAAATTGATGCTCCTCGATTGCTTCCTGGCTCACTTGAAGGCCAATTATAGCGATAAAATAGTTTTAGTATCGAATTACACCCAAACGTTGGATTTGTTTGAAAGTTTATGTAGAAGAAGGTAAGCAATAATCAACGATTAATCTATTTAATTAAAGTAATTTAATTATTTCAGAGGGTATTTATACGTCCGGTTGGACGGTACAATGACGATAAAAAAAAGGGCGAAGGTGGTGGCAAACTTCAACAATCCCGAATCCAAGGAATTCATATTTATGTTGAGCTCGAAGGCGGGAGGATGCGGTCTCAATTTAATTGGTGCCAATCGTTTAATCATGTTCGATCCCGATTGGAATCCCGCCAACGACGATCAAGCCATGGCGAGAGTCTGGAGAGATGGCCAACAGAAGCCTTGTTATATTTACCGATTTTTGGCTGTAAGTACAATAATTGAACCTGATGAAAGATGCTTTGATATACTATTAAATGTTTGAAATGTTGCAGGCCGGATCTATAGAGGAAAAAATATTCCAAAGACAGGCTCATAAGAAGGCGCTCAGTTCGGCGGTAGTTGACATGAACGAAGAAACCGCCAGGCACTTCAGCGTAGCCGAATTACGGGATCTGTTCAGGTTGGAAAACACCGAATCTGACACTCACCAAAGATTGAAATGCAAACGATGTTTGAATAAAATTCAAATCAAAAATCCACCCGACGAGGCAGATTGCACGGACGATTTGTCCTTGTGGTATCACTGTTGGAATAAAAAGGGTTTGGCGGACATGGTAATTGCTGCTGTCTCCTTAAAATTAATATGATAGTTTTAATCCTATTGATTTTGTAGGTGTTGAAAACTATTTGGGACTTGTCGAAATATATATCGTTTGTGTTCCATCAAAAATCAGCTAAACAAGAAGTGAAGGCTGTAGTTCAACAAGAGGAAGAAGATCCTGATTATAGTGGTAAAGAAGATAATGGTGACGACGATTCTGATTATTCAGTATAAATTTATTTATAGATCTAATTTCTAATCGATTTATGATTTGTACTATGTTCTGATTGTTTAAATTTGTTAATTTGTTAATCATTTATAATTCCTATAGTATATGTTCTAAAAGTTAGTTTATGTACTAGATTTATTGTTATTTCTAATGATCGAAAACACCAGTATTAACTTTTCGTATATCTAGTTATTTCTAAGTTAATTATACATATTACCTTCTGAATTAATACAAGTGCGCTTTATTTTCAAATCTCATTCCCAAAATTGTTCCGATAAGATGCTAAATTTGACAGCTCTAAAATTAGGCAACACAGATTACGTTGGAGAAACTGAACCACTTGGTAGCCAAAGACTAGAATGTACGGAGGCCAGGGAAGCCTAAATATACGAAGAATTGAATAAAATTGACGTTTATTATTATATTACATTGTGAATGTCTTTTTAGGTTGTGTATAAAATAATTGATTAAAACGGTTTTGTTTTAATATGTTGCGCTTGTGTTATTTATGTAACAAGTTTTAGACTCGCCTCGTAAATATTTGTTATGGCAGATTGGAGAACTAACGAAAAATACCGGAAACCTAGAAGAGCAAAAGGCACCCCATTGTATACTTACAGAAATTACTTCGCCCTGGGTGTTTTGGCGTTTGGAGGAGTGTCCTGGTACTTACTAGAGTAAGTTAGGCCTATTTTGAATGGTACATTCAATATATGTTATTGGTATATTTTAGATTGTGGCCCCCGTCACAACGACTGAAAAGGGCTTTCTTGGACGGTAGATTCGATTTACCAGAGGCGTTCGAAACGAAAGTTTTGCACATTAAAAAAGGTTTTGAATCACCAGAACTCGCACCGGTTCTAGCCAAGGCTAGAGAAAAGGAATTCGAGAAATATGCCCCGAAATTGGAAGACCCATGGATCGTCAAAGTGCTCAAGTCAAAGCCAGAAGTCTAATGATAATTGGTTAGTTTGATTTTGTTTAACATGGATATTTTGTAGTTACTATAAAGTTTAGAATCGTTCTTTGTTTTCATTATTTTCCTGCAACAAATATATTCTATGGCAATTTCTCACCTAATTAATATGTTTTACGAAGAGCTTCTATCCTATAATTTATTTAATTTATTCACATATAGTCTAATTAATTCTCTTAGTCCCTTAGATAAGAAATTGCCAGGAACGTCCAAAGACTCGGAGTCGCCTTATAAAAATATTTTACATGGGATAAATCGGGTCAGTTTAGCCAACGATGCGAATGATTTTGCAAGCCCGAAAGTACCGAAAAAAAAGTCTGCGCCCAAAAAACCCGTCCTGGCAAAAAAGAAAACTCCCAAGAAAGGCAACAAAAAGAAAATCAACCCGATTTTAAAATGTTTCGAGGATAATTCGGAAAATATAGACGTGAATCCTGATCATCTGCAGATGGCTTTGGCTCTTTCGCGATCGACGTTTGCTCAGGAGAATCCGGGGGGAGATGCAGAAAGCCAATCATCGATTTTAACTGCTGAAAAGATACCCAAGGTTACGACTTTCTTAGAGAAATACGGCTTTAAATGCAATAGAACCCAAGCGAATTCAAAGTCTCGTTTGGAAGTAAGTACAATTTGCTTTAAATTTCTAATTTAGCTATAATAATTGCTGGAAATTTTAGGAAACTAAAAAGAAGAAAAATTCAAAATTTCGATTCGTAACACCTGCTCTATACACCCGTTCCGAAGAAGACAGAATTTCACTAATCAATTCGAAAGTAATTGCAATAATAGAAGAACAGAATCAATTTAAAATTATAAAGGAAATTGACCATTCTAAATCAATTAAAAGCTCTTATCTAAAACAATTCCAATCTACCAACAAATGTTGGAATATAAACAACGCGCTATTTAGCAACGAATTCATTATAAGTACACTTAATTTAGATCCTTCGGAAAATACTGCGGGTTGTTTGTTAAAAAATTGGGACGATATACAAGGTAGAGACAAATCTCCACAGCCAAATCCACTAAATAAAGAAACTGCACCGCAAATATTAGATGACATTGAAAGAGAAACGAAAAATAAAAGAATTTGTTCATCACCTGATTTGTTTGATGATTCTAGTAGCGACTCATTGATATTTACAAACAATGAATTAGAAATAACTCCACATAATAATAGTCAAATAGAAATATCACCTTCGAAATTGCAAACATTTTGTACTAATGAACCTGATGTTTCACCTCAAAGCGTAGACCAACCAACTTGTTCAATAGAAATACAGAAGAAACCCACAAAAACGGGGACTATTAATTTCGATTCTCTGCTACCAAAAGTGTCTATTGAAAGTACAATTGTTACAAACTCTAAAGTCCCCAGTGAATTTGAATCTACTTATTTTAAAGACATAAAATCCGTGGAATCTTCTCCTAAGCAGGACATCGAACAATATTGCAAAGGCATCGAGCATTACGAGAGCTTCTACGAGCCTACCGAAAAAAATAATGAATTTATAGATTTAACATACAGCTCTGATGAGGATCAATCGTGTGAAACAAGCGGTAAAAAATAGTATTATGTTATACGTAGATATTGATAGTAATTGATTTTCAGATTTCAACAAGAAGAATACCGATCAAGATCAACATGAAGAAACTGTTCAGGCATCTAATGCAAGACCCTCGTTAATAACTAAACGGTCCTCTTTGGATTCCGGAAACATTTCATTGGAGTACAATAGAACAAAATCTTTGAATGTTACTGATTACGTTTTACAGGTGCTAAACTCACAAGGTACTGTGCTGTTACTTTGAATTTAACTTCATTAAAATTGATCACCTTGTAGATATGGAGGAAATTGAAAATAATAGCAAGAGCTCTTTGTCGCAAGAAAGTACGGAAATTGTGAGCGACGAGGAGCTAAATTATTCCAGCCGATTCAGCGAAAGTTGCGTTAATCCAAAAATGTATGATTTAGAAACTGTCAATGATTGCCATGATTTTGATGATGAAGATGCAAAAGATATACATGATGATAATAAAAAATCTCCAATTAATGATGAGGAAACAGCTTCAGTTATGCATAAAATTGACGTTGAAAAACCTGAACCCCTTACAAGTGATCAAGCTTGTCTCACACCAGTAGAAACTAAGAAACCTAGTTTAAACTTGAACACACCTGATAATATCATAATCAAAACACACAATGTAACTCCAATGGCGGATTACGACGCGATGGACACTCCGAAAATTCAAGATGAATTAGATAAGTTCGGAATTAAACCTCTTAAACGGCGAAGGGGAGTCGAATTGTTGAAGTACATCTACGAATCCTCCCATCCCATAGTTGATATTAACGCAGCAACAATAGAGTCGCCCGTTAAAAGGAGGAAATTAAATCCGGATTTCGAAAACCAAAAACCCGAAGACATTAAAATCGTGGGAGCAACTCTTACAGAAAAGTAATAGAAATTTATCATACTTACATACTTTCTGACTATTCGTGTTTCAGCGAAAACGATGATTTGCTGTTTGAACGGAGATTTTCCAAAAAAATAGCCTCTTGTCGGGTTCCATTGCAAATTGCTTGGTACAATTTCCTTTGCTGTAATCCCGTTTTAAAAGAAAACATTCTGCTGTACGAGCCCATTCAATTGGAGGTGGTTGTGGCAATGTTGAATGATCAGTCTGGTTGTAAATTTCATATCGAGGTAAATTTAGCAATTTTTTTATACAATAATCATAATTATGATGGATATATGGGTAAACATATTATTTCACAACGTTGTGAAAACATATGAAAGAATCCATTTCTTGAAGTAAAAAAAAATGGGCTCATATGAATGTAAAGTTGGTTGCCTACTATACATAATATTGAAAGTAAAAATATTTAATTCATGCTCTCCTAGGATGAATTAGTATTGAAAACACTAACAGCACTTTCACTTCGACATAATAACACCTATTTTCTTATATCGTATTCTTCTTTCTAGGATTTAATTAGTTTTTTTGATAAAAAATGCATTACATTCAGAACGAATCAGTGGAAAAATGGAAAAAAAAGAAATCCAACTAAATTGCAGGACTGATATATTTTTCAAATTTTTTAAATCTTCCTGTTCTTCTTTACATTCAATGTTTAAATTGTTCGTTATATTTGGCTTTATATCTATTTACAATTGGTTTTAAACAAAGTGTTTAGTATTAATTATTATGTAAATAAATTCATTAAATTGCCTTATAGTATTTTGTTCCTGCTGTTAAGGAGGATTTTTCCTACTATAATTTAATTTGAGCAAATTAACAAGGTGTAATAATAAACTTGGAAAAATCTACATTCCTTTGTGGATAAGGAGGGAATTTAATTAAGTTATATAAGGCGGTATATTAAAGAGTAAATTAAAGGTGCATATTTTTTCGTAATTATGGAAGAATGAAAATGAATCCTGTCTCGACTTGCCCGCTATTTTAGTAACATTTGATAACGGTTTAATTTGTTTATCAGCATATACATATTTGTCATTCTATAAGTACATAGGCGCCGTTAATAGATGATTCATGATTATTATACAATATACCAAAGTGGTAACAATTTGATAATGACATGATAACATAGAAACGACTGTTCAATTTTCCTAAGAATCATTTTATTCTCATATTTAATTATTTATATTTTCATTCGATGCTCAATTGTGGATTTTTTAAAGAACTGGACACTTGAATAATTATGAATTATATAAATATTAAAGTACCTACATATATAGGGATGTGGGTAAGTGCAAATGTCTTTTGAGTAAATTACAACTCCACAATTTCACTCTTTCTTTTTCATTTATATGAGACGTCGAAAGTTGTCTATGTTGCACCTATTATTCACGAAAAATTCGTAATAAAATTAGCAAATTACAATTCATGGGTTATTTCATTGAAATCTTGCCAAAAAAAGAAACCTCACTTAAAATAATAAGATCACCCTAAACGCCTTTTGGGTAAGTATTTTAATTTTACCTCATTACCAATTAATTTTATTTTTAATTCTATATTAAATTGTTTTTTCCAATTACCTATCAATCTCGTCTATTTTTCGATTTAAAATTATTCAGATAAGCACATCGTGCCAACAGATTAAAAACTGTGAGCTACAGGTAATTCTGACAACGTCATAATCTTGTTAAACATCCTTCCCGGAAAATATATTTAAAAATCTAAAAATAAGCCGCAAAAAACCCTGACACACAGTGTACCAACAAAAGATATAAAAATAGATTAGTCGGTCTATAAACAAACAACCTTTGGTAAGAATATCTTTTATAAATTATGCAACTAAACATCAAACCTCAAATAATAATATTAACCAAATAAATTAATCATTCAAGGTACGATGTAGTATATGCGAAATTGAAATTTCTCGACGAGGTCGAGACAAAGGTTACTTCGACAAATGAACGCAATGTTAAACAAAATCTAAGGTATTGACGTTTATTTTTAGATTCAAATGTATTATTTTAATTCGTTCGAGTGATATTTTTAAACGCCCTTAATAAATTTAGTTACAAGGAAGAAAAAACTCTGGAATTCGGAATAATTTAGCAAACAAAACAAGAAATGAATATTTTTAGTACTTATTACGAATGTTGCTATATTTAATTGAATTTAAATGTTTGAATAAGAAAGTTTTTGCTCCATCGAAAATGCCGCTAAAAGGTGTTTTATTCGGAGGTCAAGCGTTGAACTTTCACCTCCATCGAGGGTCTAGCCAGTCTGCGATTATATCGATTTTGCTTTCCTTTAACAAAAAACTAAAACCGCAAATTGTAATGTGCCAGCCGTATTTCGACATTTATTGGAAAATTACAATCTATTTTTTAGGTAAGCATTTTCCCAATTTCGGGTAAGTAGAGGTCTAGAGTTCAAAAATAATAAATAATCGAAATGTTTGTGCCAAAAATTGTTTAAAATAAATACCGACATACATATCTCTATGAGATTGATGTCTCTTCCCGGATTTTCATTGTGAAACGTTTGCCAGAAAACGAAATATGTTACGGGAAAACGTTTGAAACAGTTCATTTTCCGGGAAGGTTTCACTAAAGCATCATCAGCTGTTTCGGGAAATCAGATCGTTAAATGTTTCCACTGACAGTCTATTTGATACTTTCCTACAAATTCGTGGGTGATTTGAACATGTATCGAGAATTATCATGAACATTTTAAATAGTAATGCTAATCGAAACGATGAAAAAACGAATAGATAAACGTTTCCATTTTCCCAACATAACTTTTCCGACCTTGAATACATTGTCGAATATAAATAAATAAAACATTACACGTTAATTCCCAACAACCCATCGTTACAACTCACTTTTAATAGATAAAGCTGTTTACATTCATACAATTGCCAGGAATCGGCGATATTCTATTTATCAGCAACTTCCTGAAATTGTTTTCATTGCCTCCGATATTGGATACATTAAATTATTGCAATTAATTCCATCTAATTTGGATTAGAATAACACAAATCAAAATTTATTTCCGACGCAGAAAAATCCGAAAAGGAATTTTTATTGAATTGTTAATGTAAACATTTTCACGAGGAATTAAATTGTAATGTTGCCAATCACGACTGTCTGGCACTCGAACTCGATCGCAATTTGCATTTTATACGTAAACACTTACCACTGACATACAAACGTCTGAAACAATAGTGTTATGACTTTCATGCAAGTTGATGTTGATTCCTAAATTGAACGACGCATGTTCAAGAAAAAATAAATACTTTAATAACTATAAAGGAGTGCTTAACTTTCATAGTCACAACAATTGGAATCTGTTCGTATGATCGAGATATATTATGTGAGATGCAAGGTTGCAAAGGTTAAAATCCACGACGTTCTGATCGCAAGGATACACGTTTCAATAATAACAGATGATTTGAACCCAAACAACGACCTTTACACATCTAATATGTTACAACTTTATTACTATTCCGATGTCTTTTTGTACCAGGTTTTTCCCTAATTTCTGGTAGGTACATGTATGCCAAAGAATATGGATGCTGTAAATTTCGTAACAATTGATTAAAGGATCAAATTAATTTAGGTTCCGATAAAAACTGTGAATCATACGATTGTCTGGTGAGCTCCATTTGTTGATTACAGTGTAGTGTGAGTAATTCATTCGCACAGCGAGATTGAATGTTTAACATAATCACCTGACTGTTTCAAAATCTCGAATGAAACATTATAACATATTATGCGTTAATGTTATTAATTTTTCGAGAGGCCTTTAGATGGTACCAATTTTTATTCAGTTGCAGTTTTTGCAACGACAACGGCTTTATTAGATATTTATTATAATAAAATTATAACATTTAAAAATTAATATGTACTTAAAATCTAGGTACGTTTCAAACACATAATATGTATAAAGTAAGTATACACACTCAAATAAAATCTTATTTACTTTAATTCAATGAAAACTTTATATCACATCCAATCGGGTGACATTTTAGTTACTTAGCTAAATATGAAATTATTTAAAGTGGATTACAATTTTTCCTTCAATGAGATTTTTTTATATCCGATTTTCTACAAATTTGTTACTTTTTTTAAGTAGTTATTATCAAGCAGTCATTATAATAAAATTATTGCAATTCATGTTCATTATCATCTTGTCATGGACACTTACACTTGAAGATATTTTAATGTCTACCAATTTTAATTATTGGTTATTAATAAGCAATTAATGGTATATTTGAGTATACAATTGTTCTCTTATGGTTACTGTTGACATAATTAAATATAGGCTAAAATAAAAATTGCGGGATTATACTTAAATATTTTTTAACGTTTTCTGAAAAACATTTAAATTACGATTAATTGAACAATATTGATGTAATTAAACAAAATATTATTTCAATAAATGAACGAGCGTCAGAGAAACTGGCCGATTAGGATTTTACAATAATTAGTTGTATCGTAATTTACAGTTTTTAATGATTTATTAAAATTAATTTAAATTGTTAATTATGCTTGTGCGCATACAGTGCTTTCATTTGAAGCATTTTTAGATATTCTGAGGTTATGCACACCTGCGTATGTAACTACTTAAGTTTATTTTAGTAATCTTAAATAATAATGGAAAAAAATGATAAACATTTCTATAATACTTATGATAATAACTCTTGATTTATTTAGTTATTAAAAAATATTAACTTAAAACCAATTACGACCTGTTCTATCAAGATATGAATGGAATTTTAGATTGCCATCAAATTTTTGAGATACTAAGATTATTTGCAGAAATGTGTTTATTGATAATACATTACGTGAGGGAATTGGAAATTGTATAATATCATTTCAATTATGTAGTTGTCAAAATAATGCATTTTATTAATTATATTTGATTGCGCACTGTAAATAAGTACCTATTGTTAGGTACTTTTTGTGTACGTACAAATTGGGCGGAATATTTAGTTAGTATTGTTTTATTTACAATGGCAGTATATAGAAGTGTGCGTAAATACATACACAGGACAATTATTATTATTCCAGCATATCAAATATCATGTTTACAACCTTGACAGTACGTCAGAACTATAAGAATGACGTACGCGAATTTAGAGCACTTTTTAACTAAAGTTTTCAATTTTCTTTGTATACGAGTAACATGGGAATTTATTAACGAGAATTCTATGCAGAATTTAAAGAAAAAGGTCACATAATTAATAGAAATGCAAATATTTCGAATATCTTAAAAAGATAACTATCGTAGAATCAGTTAAAATGTAAGAACCCAAACGGGACTTTTCCCACCTAATTTATATTCATACGTACAATACTTACATATCTAATTGTAGAAATACATTTATATTTACTTGCATAATGCATAGTTCCATTCAGGTCACGCTGAGGAATTCCCACACCTGCAAGCATGTCTCAACCTGCGTAAAAATCCTTCGAGGAGTTCGTTGGAAATTCTTTACGGCTTCTTCGAGACATTGTCCTCGAGGTCCGGAATGTCCGATCGTTCAGACTTCAGACGAAGCGACGTTGTCTATTCTTTCAAAAAAACAGAATTTCTTAAGATTTTAATTGAGGATATAAAATGCAATAGATCGAAATTAGAGTCCAATAGTGCAGTCTGATGAAAGTATTGTTTTATTTTTCACTGAATCAATGTTTATAGTAAAAATTTATTATCTTATAAATAATTGATACAAATTGTGTACTTTTGCATACTCGATACCTACTCTATCTTGTGTACATTACTAGAGCCTCATAAAGACTTGATTTTAATTTTAGTATCACAAGATTTTTATCAGAATAGTGCATTGGATTTCCCACACAAGTGTTTGCGCTTAAAGGTGATTTCCCACCTTTAGATCTCGCGGATTTATCGAGATGCTAAAACATCAATTTGTCTATTTGCTCAATCGACTTTGATCGTTGGCAACGCTATTTCCTTCAATCTAAGCGCTGCACGCGAGATTGGAATTCCACGTTATCACCGCGTTCACGGAATGAATCGATGCGATAACGCGAACGAGCGAAAATTCGTCCGAACAGGTCGAATCGCGTTTGGCTGGAATCGGTCGGGCTGAAGCGTCGATGCGCCAGCGGTCAGTCAGCTGAGCGGCACAGAAACTCTCGCCTTGACACTCTTCCGTTTCACTACGAATTAATTACACAGTGATATCGAAAGCGATCAAAGACTGATTTACGCTTATTGATCCGAGTGATTATCAGGCGTTTGTTTCATATAAAATCTAATATAATTGTCCTTTATAAGTACCGCTAAAATTTCACTCAATAACTTCAAATTTAAAATAAAGTGAATCACTAAAGTGATTTTTTTAAGTCAAGCCATTTACTAAAAGATTTGTTTTATTTACTACATGCATAAATAAAAAAAAATGCAACAAAATAAATTTTTGGACTGTGTACTCGCTACAAACATTCAAGCAAGGCAACTACTGATTACAAGGATGTTGCAATGTTTTAATATTTACATACATGTTTGTATCAAAACATTGTGGAAGTCCCATACTATTGAATCGGTGAATCCTTCTGAATTCGGGTCGACAATTACGTAAATGGTAGTGGTTACGACTGTAGAAATAATATATTTCTTGCTTCGTTTCATAATGGGTTTTTACTGGGAGGGGATACGGATATGAATGAAGGGGATTCCGATATTTTACGAGATTTTATGCGGATCTAATTGGATCTGTTAGGAATGAACCAGCACGAGCTAATTAGCGGGGAAAGAATTATATCACTGATCTGTTTGGTAATTAATTATTGCAATAAAGGATTTTTATCGTTCGATGTTACCGAGTCATTGTGTACCTGATGCCTATTTTAATGAAGAACTTATTTCAAATTCATAAACTTTTCTACAGACAATACAAATAATTTGGAATATTTTTTTCTATTCAGGATATTGATAAAGGAAGCAGATATACCTATTATACAACTGGTTATTATAATTAAATAATTCCAACAAATTCTTTTTCCAATTACGGTCGGAAGATTCCGTAAAAACAACTAGTTTTCTGTTGGAACGCGCATCAGAACTAATTAAAAAATTTCTCACGATTGAATACTGTACTTGTAGGTATTGCTTAAATTTTCCTCCAATTAAGTACTAGATAAAAATAAATCTGCAATTTTTCCAAAGTCCTATTCTATTCAGTAATTGCATTTCCAATTCCTAATACCACTAATAGAGACCATATTCCAATTTGTAGGTAACTCAAGAATATATGTTTATTTAGTTTACACAACATCAGTTACAATAACAATAACCAATTTTATCTTTTTAATTATGTAATGTAATTTGCTTGCCCTAGCGATGTTAATGAGTATACAAATAGACTAATCGGGGTTTAAAATCTGGTAATTGGATTTGACAAATATTTTAAAATGTAAGGAAATGCAACATAATAACAAAGACTTTTCCATAAATTAGTGCATAAATTATTTTAAAATGTATGCAGATAACAAAAAAATATTTTTCTAACCACAAACAAAAATAAGGTCTTAATATAGTTTATTAGGAAGATACACTTCAACACAAATAGAAATAAGAAATATTTATTGAATCGAACGATAAAAGATAAGGAAGTAGACGTCAATAATTAAGGTAAAAATTATGCATGCAGTATATTATGAATATCTATTATTATGAAATATTATATTTTTGTTTTTCTGTACATTTGTTACTATGTGAAAAAATGAAGCACCACAACAATATTAACACCAATAAGTCAAACAACTGTAACACTTTGACAAATAAATAATAAATTGCATGTGGGGCGTGAGTTCTGGGCCACCCTGATGTATTTTATGATAATTGCGTTTCACAATCTTAATAAAGTTTCCGAAAAAAATATCAGTTCAGTTTACTTAAATTTTGAATACCTCGTTGTATTGAATACTATTACCAAGGTTTATGAACTTTTGAAAAATAAATAAATAAACTACACTTTTTGTTGTTGTTAACAAATATTTAGAAAAGAAAACTTAATAACAATGTGCACTTTTTGTTCATAAATATTTTAAGATGGAAAGCTAATAAACAGTGGAAAATATAACGGTGCGTATATTTCAAGAAATACAAATGATAAAATTAATGTGCCCAACGTAAAATTTTTGAAGTTATATCTGGGCTTTATCAGCTGTATACTACGGAAAAGTACTTTTTGGATTAATGTTTATTAATTATCATTAACACCACTAATAACTTGGGGTAGTATATAAATTTTAATTCATAAGATTTTTACTTTAAAATCCTTCATTGTCTACTACCATATGCATTCATAAATAGGAATAAGGATAATATGTTTGTGTATTTAGTTCTTGGAAAAATAAGTTATGAAGAAAAAAATCACAAACGGATGATAATAATAATAATACCTAATAATAATAATCCTTTGAATAATAAATACCAGTCTGGGATTGACTGTGAAATCGAACAATATAAACTCACATTAAAAATTAATTACTTACCATGAAAGACACAATTCAAATAGTATATCTCCAGCACAAACCGTATTTAATAGGCATTGTTGAAGAGTTGAAGACTTTAGTTGAATCCGAATTAAAGTTCAAGCAGGTATTGCATAATTTTATCCAAAGTTCCATCAAAATTTAACAACAATAAATCGTTTATGTGATTTGCAATTTTATCCAGACAGGTAAGGGATTATATACCTATAAGTTAGATTTTAAAATTTTTGTATTTTTGAAAATTGATGGAGACAATTATTAAATTTTAAATTCGTGTTATGTACATATTTATATTTAAAAGCCGCCTGCATTTGAAGCGCTCATTTCATATTCATTCCGAAAATGCTAGTAAAATACATACATATGTGCAGATCGATAACTTTAAGTTAATGAATGTAAAAATATTAATAAAAATGTGCGGTAAACAAACTTTTTTGTGTTTACAATAATTTAAATGTCTAATAAATATAATTGTAAGGATAATGCCCTACATAAATTGGACATTTAAAGAGTACTTTTCTGTCACAAACATATTTAAAAGATAGAAAATTTAAAATTCGATATTAAATATTTACTATTTTGACCAGAAAATTTTCTTGATTGTAGCGACCTTATCGTCAAAATAAATATTGAATTTTAATTAAACACTTACCTCACAATATTGTTTGAAAACGAGAATATTCACCTGCAGTAACTCGAAAAAAAATAGTTACAATTCACAACAAACATCAGAAACCAATATTATTATAAAAATAAATAAGGTTTGTGTTGTTGTTTTTGTTTACTTAATTTAATTTAAAATTTAAAATTAGGTATGTAATGCTTATCTTCGGCTTCGCTAGAGAAAAATATTTTTGAGACAATTTTTTCAACAGGAATATGCAACACTTGGATAACGGGGCAAAAAACAAAAAACCTTATAAAAATATTTGGGAAACCTGCACTAATAATAAAATTTTAATACGGAATATCTGCAAAAATTCTAAAATATCTTGAATGAAAAAACCCAGTCTACAGATTTATCTGTTTAGAAGATTTATCTTAAAAATATTTTTTTAAATTATCTCAATTCATTTGGAATTTATCAGTTAATTTAATTCGCATGCAACCTTGAAGAGAAAAGAAAAATTGACTTTGTTATAACCACTATTAGTTTCGATTATATTTTATTTATTGAAGTAGCGAAAATACCGAAACAGAAAACAGAGGAATTCCCCTATCATTGTTTTCAGTAATGCCATAAGTTGTTTATTCTTTTTATTAGCTATTGAACACATGTTTGTGCTTTGCAAATGAACGAAATACATCCGTACGTGTTGAAACGACATTTATTAATCGTTGATAACATTAATTTTTGTTTTGTTATCTCGCAAGTTATTCTGTTTATTGATTGCATTGTTGCTTTTGCAAACAGATTCTTAATTTCAAAGTAAAAAATATACTTTATTATTTTCACAAAATAACACCAATTTGTTTAAAAAATAGGTGATCCGTGATAATATTCATTATATTTATGGAAAATGTCGAGACGATACCACTTTATTCTAAGCTATTTGTTTCCTTCAATCCTCGTATCTACAAATTATTTACCTAATAATTACAAATTTTGGTTTTAATTAAAAAAATAATTCAATAATAAAAATAATTCAAATCAATAAGGACATCATTACCTTTCAAACATTTTGAATTAATAACGCTTAGCACGAATAGAATATCTGTAACAGTAATGGGAATATCAATTTTATGTATATTGTAGAGGGTAAATAAGTACTTATTACTGTACATACATCGCTATACTGATTCGCATTTATCGCAAACGATAAATTGAAAATTAATCGACCGGCAATTACTATGTAATAAATTTTACTTTATTTGAATGAATTCAAACTAGAAGAGATTTATATTTCATTTCAAAGGAATCAATTAAAATTAAGCTACTTATGTACATTTAGCCGAGAAGGATGTTACACGCTCAATTAAACAATTATTTACTACATTAGGTAACTATTTTATTTTACAGTAAATTATTTTTAGCACCTGAATCTATTAAGGAATTTCTCAATGAAAATATAATACATTAAATAATCTTTTAATGGCACATCATATGTGCTCTATATCCTCAATATTTGTTGTTTCTATTTTATTTGCGATAAATAAGCTCATCAGCTCATATGACTTTTTTCAAGGCGCCCAAACGGCGTGTAAATTTCATTCTGTAAATCCCCAGCCGCTGGCGGAAAAAGCCTTCGAACGGCGGGGTATTCCTCGAATTTGTTTTTATGTCGAGTTCGTAGAGCCGAGTCAAGTCCCCCCACGGCGCGCGTTTCGTTCACAGTATTATAAAAGCGATGCCCGCCGTTCAACGACACAATCAAAACAACCGTCCTAGAGAGTCTATCGTATAACATACACGGCGAATATATCGTGAAAGCGCAACCGATACCTATCCCAACATTGTGACATATTACACAATTATCGTACAAGTGATCGTCACCCGAGTTCGCTCTTTTATTGGATTACGGAGTGTGTGATTATTCGAAAGTTTTTCGAATTAGTGTGAAAAGTGTTTTCCTCAATTAGATCTAAATATTCCTCAAGAACCAAAATGTGCGTTGAAACCGAAAACAACTTCAGCAAACAAGAAATGTTCAACAGGTAAGGATCACTTAATTTTCCTATACCCTCTATTAATTACACACTTCTCTCATAATTATTACATATTGTTAAAAAATTTGTTTATTAAATTTTACTGTTCATTTCAGATCGAAATTAGGACGTGCGGTGCACGGTATGTTAACACACGCAAAAATTAACAACAGGTTGATTTGCGGGCTTTTTCCGGCCGTGGAGTACCTAGAGAAATCCCCCGAGGACGTCCTGTTCTGCGTGCTGCCCCAGACGAGGCCCGGGGATTCCACCATGCACATGCAAACCGTGCTGTTGCAGGCATTCTGCTTCGAAAACGACATTCCGGTCATTCAGGTGAGAATCGCTTTCACGTAAATCGGGTGCATACTCCAAATACATAATTAATTCAAATTGTGTAATGGAAAAAGTTTGATAATGAATCGATATTAAAATCAAAGACCGTGGACGTTGCTTACGCGTAATGATAATTTAATTTGTTTACGCAAACCGATGAATTGTTTCAATATTTTTTTGGCCAAATTGTAGGAAGTAACGAAAAGAATTAATATTTTTGATGGCGCCGTCGTGTTAACAAAACTTATCGCTAATTAGTAATGTAAATTCGATAAATTAACAGATAAAAGGAAACGTGATCCTGATAAACCTTTTTTTTTTCATCATGAAAACTGCGTGATACTTTTCGATAAAGTCAACAAAGAGTAGGTACGGTATTTCCTGGAAACATAAAGGTCAAAGTGCACGTCGCGACGCCCTCGACGTGTCCAATCAGTAATTTGTAACAATAATATATTGTAACAATTTAGATTTCTAAAAAATATTTAAAAGATTCCAACCAGGATAAAGCAACGTTAATACGTTTTTTCATAAAATAAAAATAAAATTATATTTAATAAGAAAGTACACTAAACTTGCGTGCTCATTGTTTGCTTTTACTTCTTAGAAAACATTAGCATATGGGGTTGTTTGGAACGAATTATATTGTCGATTTTTTATTCCCTAAAATCACGAAATAAATCCAGTAGTAATGCAAAAATCAATATACTAAAGATTATTTTATTATTGTTACAGGTGGACAGTAGCGAAAAACTAGCCGAATATTGCGACATACGAAATTCAGACATCGGCTGCACATGTGCAGTAGTCATCAAGGACTCCAGCCTTCCCTCCACCCCTGAGGACGAGTTCCCCATGTCCCCGACGGAGCAAATACTCGCCGATTTCTACGAGTTCACGTTGGAGGAGTTTCCCCGGCCGGTCATCGAACTGCCCAGTTGAACGTACGCGGACGTTGTTCGTAATGATGAAAATCCGTGAAAAGGGTTTTTTTCTAGAATTTTTGCATTTTAAAAGTTAGAAACAATGCCGGCCTTTGTGCGCCCGATGGCGGTTTCTTCTGGGAAGCACCGAGACGACGTCCCGACGCTGGGACTTGCGCGTGCGAGTTGTTCCTCTGCCAATTTTGTTGTAATGCAATCGACGATAGATTGATTGTAAATGGTAGATATTCACGGCAGATTCGTTATGTGTAAGAGTATTAGGTATTTGAAAATTTGTGTAAGAATTTTAACTTGTTTAAGTTGGATTTGTTTGTATCAATATCTATGATAAGTGTAATTTACTATGGTTTATTGTGTTTTATGAAAGAGATATACCTACGATTGTTAATGTATTTGTGAGAAGTTGAAAATGTTTGTTAAGATTTTATTTGGAAAATAAATGATGTTAGTTTATTTCTTTGTATTATTAAATCACTTCCCTTAATCAAAGAAATACTAGTGAGAAAGAGAAGTAACACTACACTACCCCACTCTACCCTACTTTATGCATATATAATAGTATACAGATAAGTGCAAATTTGTTTGCATTATGGTCTGTGGGTGCAACAAGGATAAGTTTAATATTAGTCCCATATAAAGGTAAAAGAAAGAGTGATATTGTGGGATTGCAATTTTCTCACACTAACCACTGTTATTTTTGTTTTTATCTTTAATTGTTCAATTCATAAAATTAACCATATTGCAAACAATTTGCATTTACCTGTATATCAAACAGAACCTATACAAATGTTGCCGTTCTAGGAATATTCATTTTTTATATGAAAAATACAATTACATTTTAATATTTTAATACAGTCCAAATTATGTTGTAACAAGTATACCATAGTTTTTTGGGGGAACATATTTAATATAAAATAAAAGGAATATGTAACTTATACTTAAAACATGCATAAAAATATCAGAATTTTTTGTAAAAAAATGTGCTTTGTGCTGCCATCTATTGCATAAAGCAAACATTATAAGGCGAAACTGGAAAATTTTCTTTAATTTGCGATTTCTGGGAAAAATCTACATCATTGTAAATATTTATATTAAAAATAGGTATTGGTTATTGGTTTAATGTTAGTCTTTAGTGTTTTATGTGGTTGGTTTCATAGCAACAGGTAAAAAAATTAAAATCTTAAAAATGCAATAATTTCATTGAATAAAAAAGAGATTGCTCGTTATAAGATGCAATTACAATTAGTTAAATTACTTACCAATAATTTGTACTTTATTTTCGTCTAATATAAATTATTCAAAACTTTTGTACACTCGCCCATTTTAAAACTGCCATCTGTCATATGTCATTTGTCGAATATCGAATTGTTTCGGGCACACTTTGACCACAAATGAAAATTTCAAATTTGCAATAAACTCAACTACTCTACTTAATTTAGTAAATTGTGTTAACAATTAATTTGCTACTTTAATCAATTCCTAGGTTCACTTGCTCCTGCAATGGCCTTGCCAAATTGGTCGCCTAGCGCCAACTGGGATTCCCAAACACTGAATTTACTAAACGATTTCAAAGTTAACCCCCTGCCGGTTGTCTCCTTCCAAGACATTTTAAATTCCTCGCACGATTTCCCCATCCATTTTCCCACTAAAACCAACAAATGCACCTTCCTAAAAGCGAAAACTCAAGAGGACTCCCTGACGCGCAACATCCGCTCAGTATACCCGGTGCTTCACGAAAGCGCGCTGAAACTCTGCGCAGACTTCATCATGTTCAAAAGACAATTCGGCAGCAAGACGGAAAGAGTTTATTACGAAAACTTTTCCATCAAGGATCTCGTTGATAAAATGCTGCGGAAGAGAGCCGTTCATTTTTTGGACGCTTCCGACGATTACGGCTTGCTGAACGGCAAAAGCGGCTCCGGCGGTTGGGAAAATGTGGGAACACCCTGTCAAAAAGACCCTCTTCTCATCGAAGACGTGATGACTTACGACGAGCTGAAAATTTCGGCTTTTCTATCGGTTACTTCTTACACGTATTTCGTTAACGAAGGGCATCGTACGAACATTGGGAAGTACCAGGAGAACAGAAGCCTCGTGGAAGACTCTGGTGTCATTATCGGCATGATAGGCACTAGATTAGAAAAACCGCGAGTAATGGAATATCAAGACATCGTTATTTCCAAAACGCAGAACACTAGAGATAGCGGTTTTGGGTCAGACATCCATCACAGCGTCCCTAAATTGTTTGCTAATTTTTATGACGAACAATCCTTAACTTTTGACGAGGCTTGGAAGGCGAAAAACGAGGACTTTTCCCACAAATATACCATCGTATTAAACGATTTATTATTCGACAACCATTTTTATTACAAAAGACTTGCGATTTCCGTCGATACTTTGTTGCTAGAGGCAAATTCGAGGGCTAGAGAAGCTTCGAAAAATGCTTATATCCATGTGGTTGGCTTGGGTCTAGGAGTTTGGAAGATATCGGAGCATCAAAACAAATTATACATGGACACATTTGCCGAAAGACTCAAGTACGACATATGCTTAAATGCTTACGTATAAAGTTTAAAATTAATTTGTCATTACAGAGTATTGAGCGGAAAACTGCACAGTGTTAGTGATATTTGCTTTGCCTACATTAGGCAAGCCAAATGCGGAGGTTACAGCGATGGCGATGTTTTCCCGATAAAAGGCCATCCCAAAGGAGGAATAAAGATTCATATTTTGAACCGAAATCCGCATGCTAAATTAACCGGCGACGATGAAGGTTAGGAAAAATTTTATTCTGCTATAACACAAATATTCCACAAATAATTATCTTGCAGGTAAACTTCTTGTGGTTTCCTATGCTTGGGACGGAAACGCTTTGCCTGGAAACGAATATTGGTTGGGAAGTTTGGCTGGTAGCGGAGATCCGGCTGCTGCCTGCTCGACTCAAATCTGCGAAATCCACAACCCGCACATAAATCCCTTAGTTTCCGCTGATAATTTGAGGATTGTTACGGATGATGGGGTCCTTAGCGTCACAGAGTACCAGATGAGAATAGCAGATAAACAATTATTTTGATATAAATAAATAACTAGTGATCTGTTTTTACCGCTTTTTTACTGTCGAGAAACCTGATATTTAATCATAAGATCGTTTGATTGAAATTTATTTAAAACATTTTCAGAGACGAACTTGATCCGGTCCTGTCTAAGATAACACACAACAACTGGCCTTTTATTGTATTTGTTTTCGTTAATTTTTAACGTCAAAACACACCGATTATAAAAAAAGAAGAATAGGTTTAGGTTAGGTCTGTTTTGACATTTAATGTTTATGTTAATTTAATTTTTTGTTATTAAAACGCTAATTTAAGCACAACAGTATGACTGACGAGGATAACGAAATAAACAACATATGCAGGACATGTTTATCTGAAGGGAATATAATGAAATCTATATTCACAATAGACGAGTCGATAGGAGAACGTACGCCGTTATTCGAAATGTTGATGTCCTTTACTTCAGTAACTGTACGTATATTGTAGTAAATAAACGTATAAATTTGATTAAATATTTCTTTGTAGATATCTCCAAGTGATAACCTACCCAGTAAGGTCTGCTCGCAATGCGCACACTACATAACAGGATCATTCTCTTTCAAGCAACTTTGCGAGCGCTCAGAAAACACGTTAAGAGAGATAATTAATCGTAATTTAGATCAAAATTCAGTTGATATAAAGCCGATTTTATCTTCGGATTGTTCTAACGCGAATTTTATTGAACAAACTGTACCATTAAGCCCAATTTATATAGACCCATCGAGAAATACCGAACCACTCGAATCCTATTGCAAACAATCTACTAATGATATACCTGAAGAGGAGAGTAATATCGAAATTAAATTTAATGAACTGGAAGAAAATAATTCGTCCGGTATGGAACTGTTCAATAGCGATATCGTTTGCAATGAGAATTCCTTATCAACTGATGAGCTAACACCTTTAAAGAATGGCGATTTGGGTACATTTAGCCATGATTACAAGGAAGATAGCGAGAAAACTTGTGGTTTTAGTATGTAAATTTCGAGACAATTAATTAGCGTTTGATTAAATTAATGAACAATCTTTTGCAGATATTTTGAATGAATTACAAACGGATTCAAAAACCGTTCAAAACAAGATCGAAGACGAAACTGAAGAGCCACTGTATCCCTGCGAGAAATGTACATTGTGCTTTACAACGCAGAACGATTTAAAAGTATATATTTAAAAATACCGAGAACAAAATCTGGAAGATATTTTTTTCAGGTGCACGCCCGTACACATTCCAAAGTCAACGAACACATATGCAAAACGTGTAACCAGCGATTTTCTAGCGCTAGCACGCTTTGCAGGCACATGAAAACTCACAATACCGCTAAAAAGCATTTATGCAGTGAATGCGGCAAAGGTTTCAAGAGATCCGATGATCTTACAAGGCACATGCGCACCCATACAGGTACACCAAAGTCAATTTTCAATCTATTATTACTCATATCTAATTATACTCCAGGTGAAAAACCGTTCAAATGCGAAAAGTGCGGCAAGGCCTATTCCCAATCATTCAGGCTTTTAGAACACGCTCGAGCCCACGCTAACGAGAAAACATTTATCTGCTCAGTATGTGGCAAAGCTTTTTCCAGATACACCAGTTTTTGCGCGCACAGCAAAACCCACAGCGGAATTAAACGATACGCGTGCAATGTATGCGGAAAAAGGTACATAAATAATATTCAAAAATGCCTCATTGTTAACTAGCCACAACGATCAATCACAGGATGATGGATGTAGTCTATTTTTACTTAAAATATATTCTCTACTTTTTGAATATGCTGTTGTTTTGCAGATTGTGCAGCTCAGGATCTTTAGCATTGCACATGAAAACACATTCTGGCTTGAAGGATCACTTATGCTCGTTTTGCGGTAAAGGATTCACTTCTCCCAGTAACCTTGTTATACACAAACGAATGCACACAGGTAAATAATATAACTGCTAATATTCCCCATTAAATTGGGGAATATTTATTTCATTTTATTTGCAGGCGAGAAACCGTACGTTTGTCAAACGTGCGGCAAGGGATTCCCAGACGCATCGCGCCTTACGGTCCATTCGAGGACACACACAGGAGTTAAACCGTACGTGTGCTCGACCTGCGGCCGAGGTTGCGTCAGCTCGTCGCAACTGAGAAAGCACGCCAGGATACACACGGGGGAGAAGCCCTATCTGTGCGATTTGTGCCCCAGGACCTTCACCAGACGCGACGATTTGAAAATACACGTCAAAACCCACACAGGTAATTTATGTCCATTTTCTCCAAAGCATCACAAGCCTGATCATATGTAAGTTCACTTATAAGGTAGGATAGGGTTGTGATCACAGTACTGTTTCTCCAAAGATTCCGCGGCTTATCATGAGTGTGAAAAAATTTGAACTGGCAATATTGTAAATTATCTTTTGAGTGTTTTGACAATAGAATTTTTTGTTTCTGGAATAAGTGCGCTATTTATGGACCACCATAAGCACTTTTCTCAATAAAAAGTCGAATTTTAAATTTTAATCGGCTTAATTTATATTAAACAACTCCTTAACCATTTAGTTAAGAAAAACTCCCAAAAAAACAAAATCCTTGAAATAAACAACATTTTCTAAAGTATATCATTTTTATGAACCTTTAGAAAGTGAACATAATATGGACCACATCCAGATATAAAGAAAATTCTTTTTTAAATAGTGGTTGTCCATATTATATGACAGGTCCATATTTGGCGCACTTACTCTAATAATTTTCAACAACATCTACTTCTTTAACTATTTCATCTACATAACGATTTACAATCCATATTTTTTGAAAAAAGCAGCACAAAACAAACAAAACTAGGTTATAAAGCAAAAGCTGAGCACAAGTCTTCAAAATTGGGCACTTTATCCTAACCTTATCACAGGACAAGGATTTACATTGGGGAAACGATGTAGAAAAGACTTGTGATATATTTTTATCATGTGATTAGTTTTAATCACGTGATGCTTTGGAGAAAATGGGCGTTAGTGTAATCGTTTAAAAAGCTATAATTATCTCGAAAACGAGTTGAGATAAAGATATGAAATTGTCATCGTTTTATACTAAAAACAATTCGCTACAACTTTGAAAGAATCAAAAATTTCCAAAAAATCCAAAATTTCCGAGATATTTCTTTAACAAACGAGGATGTTTGTAAATCGTTTGTGATCGTTTTAGTTTCATTTTTAGGCGACAGAAGCCACGTTTGTGAATTTTGCAAGAAGGGTTTCTATCAAGCGTCGACGTTGAAGGTCCATATGAGAATCCACACGGACGAGAAGCCGTACGTTTGTCAGCTGTGTTCCAATGCCTTTACACAGTCCCATCTTCTTGCGGCTCATGTAAGTCGCGTTCATAAATCGAACTAATAAATCGGCCTTTTAACGAAAAGGGCCGTGGGGATGGAACGTTATTGCAAAAAGCGTTTCTGTGATGCTAGATAATTTTTGTTATTATAGTATAATTTACTACCAGCTAGATGCTTATTTTGAATTGCATTTTAGTATACATCACTTTAGTATGTATAAGATTTATTTGTAAGTCCGCAATAACTAATATTATACACAAGTATTTCCCTGGGAAGATGCAAATAGTATTAAGGAAGCCGCTAACAGTAATTTTTATACTTTGTGGAAAATATAAAACTATTTTATTTTTACTCTAATTTTAATTAATTAATAAACTAACAACAACTTATCTAATAGGAAAATATAAAATTAAATATTAAAACAACGAAACAGTTCACAATCACTCAATCTTCGAAGTGCGTTTGCTCTTCGAATTGATTCTCATACTGTCCTCTCAATCGCAAGTTTTTGGGATCGAACGGGCTGCTCAAATACAACGTTGCCGGATATTTGGTGTTTCTTACTTCGATTCGGTAGTTTCCTTGCTTCAGGAATTCATTGTCCACTACTTTGCCTTCGGGGTGCTCGATATACCTGAAATTCAATATTTACTCGTAATTCTTCCATTTTGTTATCTATTTTTTTTTGCAAATTTACCCGACGCCTATGCTGCAATCCAAGCTGAACCCATAAGTTCCCCTTCTCACTATTCCTACCATGGTGTCATCCCGCCAGATCGTCTCGTAACCATAGAGCGCCACAGGATCCTGCATGGTCAGGAACACTCTCTTCTTCTTAACGCCTTCCTGCTTGAACTTTTCCACGGCTTGCTTGCCCAAGTACTGGCCGTCTTTCCTGCAGAACCTTCCCAGACCAGCTTCGATGGGATTGTCGTCAACACGCAGATCGTGGTTCATCGAATGGTAACCTAGAAGCATTTATTACTCAGTCATCAACAGTAATTAATAGGTAAGTAGTTTGTTACCTTTTTCGCAACTGAGAGAATCCAAAGCTCTAAATCCGGCGTTCTTCAGATCGAATCCCCGTCCAGCTTCGATGAGTCTTTTGTAAACGGGAACGCACGAAGCTAAGGGAATGTGAATTTCGTATCCCAATTCGCCAATGTAGCTAACCCTTAACACTCTGCAAGTGTGCCCGGCGATTTTCAGCAGTTTGGACATTCCGTAGGGGAGCTTTTCATCGGTAATGGGGAATTCCGTTATAGATTGTAACAGTTCTCGACTGCAAGAAAGAAGAGTTGTTAGGGAAATGTCTATTGTTCAAAGTCCTGCTGAACCTGCTTACCTTTTCGGCCCTTGAATTGCGAGAATTCCTATTCGGTTGGTCATTTCTGTGACTAGTGATTTGAAGTTTTTCCTATAAAGTTGCTTCCTAAAGTGAGCTTTCGTTTGGTACCCTGACTTCGCTCCTGCTACTATGTAGAAACCTTTGCCCTGTAACAATGTTTGTTGTATTGTTGTTTCTTAATGATCAAATAAAGTTACTTTGAAAATAGGTCCTACTAACGTCCCTTGTCCTTCTTCTAACGGAATAACGGTCACGTCAGTTTCTACGCCACCTCTGGAATTCAAGGAGCAGGTGTAGCTAATACTGCCTGGCTCCTTATCCAGATTAGTGGTGAACAACCAATCGGCCGCTTCTACTGCGTCCGGTCCTGCCAGGTACATTTTCGCGTAGCTGGTCAAATCGAACAGAGCCACGCCGTTTCGGGCTGCCAAAGCTTCCTCTCGAATCTTCAAAAAAATACACCCATCAACATATAACAAGACTATCTGGAGCAACATTTATATAAAACTCACCAGGTCGTGGTGTTTGGGAAAGTCGAAGGTGAGATCGCCATCCAATTCCTTTATATACCGAGTGTCTTCGTTGGCCATGTGACCGTAGAAACCGTTCCAATCGTATCCTCTAATGGGAGCCGTGCGATCCTTGATGAAATAAGCTGGCCTTTCCCATCCGAGGGCCTCTTCCATTACGGCGCCGTTCGCCACAAGAGCCTGAGATATAAATTCATTTAATCGTTTCCTTTAGCAATTTCTGCTTGACGAGCTTACCTCGTGGAAGGCGTCGATTCTGTGATTCCGCCCCGCCAATGGTTGATCGTTCGCGTAGGTTATGCTGTACGTTTTGGCGTAGCCTTCGTGGCTTCTTTCGTTCGCCCAGGCTCTGTCTTTCCTCTGAATGGGCGTAAATCTTCGAATGTCGTACATATGGAGCGGCAGCTCCGGCCGACCGAGCGCTATCCAGCTCGCCATGGAGTCTCCCACGCCCCCGCTGAGCATGACGCCCAAGGAATTGAAGGAGTTGCAGTGGAACAAACCTAGAAACGAGGATGGATAACGGGTTGTCGGTTGTGATTTATATCGCGTGACTTACCCACGCATTTGGGGTCTTCTCCCATCAGAGGTTTGTGGTCGGGCGTGAACGTTTCCACGCCGCAAACGCTGCTCTTGATGCCGACCTTCTGGAACGTCGGGCAAAGGTGCAAGGCGTTCTTCCAATGCTGCTCGAAAACGGACATGTCCATCTCGTACAAGTGGAACGGTTCGTCCGGCAGCTAGTCGAATTAGTAATGTATTTAATATGCTACAGTGGTAACGCGAGTGGTTCCTACCTCGTTGATGAAAATCGGATTGGGCTCGTACCCGCCGAGCAGTATGGAATCGCCCTGCGGTCTGAAGTACAGGCTGCTGTCGTGGCATCTGATCTGCGGCAATCCCTGCGAATTCGCGACGTTGCCCGTGATGATGTAGGCGTGCTTCATGGGCGTCGACGGGAGATCCAGGCCGATGGTTTGGGTGAGCTGTCTGGACCAAGCGCCCGCAGCGTTCACGACCGCGGTGGTTTTGATGCGCCCCTGCGTCGTCTCCACGCCTACGATTTTCTGCTCGTTATTAGGCGTCGGCTCCGTGAGCAATTTCTTTACTTGGATGTGCTCGAACACCTACAGTAGGGATAGTTAGAAATTTAATTGTCGATTCGTCTCGAGTAAATTACTTTTGCTCCTTTCGTCTTGGCGCCTTTTATCAAAGAGTTGCAGTACATTGTGGGATCGCAGTAGCCATCGGCAGGTGACCAAAGTGCCGAGTGGAAGGCCTTGGGGTCCAGTATCGGGGCGAGTTCTTTAGCCTGCCCGGGGGAGATCACATGGCTTTCCAAATTGTGGTAATGACCTAATGTATGAAAGCGTTTGTACTCTTCCAATCTTTCCTGAAAAGTATTCATTTATAAAAGCCATGTTTCATTGTGTGTGAGCAAATTCGGACTTACTGGAGTCCTGGCTATGAACATTCCTCCGTTACTCGTCCATCCGGGGCTCAGTCCCGTTTCTTGCTCCAATCCGGCGAGCAAATCTCTGGTTTTCTTCAGCAGGAGATTTTCGACGTCGGAGGAGCGCAGTGACCAGACCAGGGCGCCGCTGTGAGACGTCGTTCCGCTCGTGATTTGGTGTCTCTCGAGCAGGATGGCATTTATGCCGCGCTTGGCAAGGTGATAGAGGGTGCTGCATCCTGCCGCTCCTCCGCCTGAGATTAATTCATATTGAATAGCATAGTACTAACAAGAATTTATAGAGAATAAATTTGGACTAAAATTCGCGAAAAATAGCGAATTAATTTTGATCACGATACCATTAATATTGCTATAATTAGTGATTATGTATAGTAATTGGTTCGATTCGATACGTAAAAATTAAGAAAATTATTCCTATTTATACAAATTATTTGGAAACATTAAATGGTGATTTTTGGGATAGTGGTAAAGGTGCAAAGTACGCTTTTTTTAACAAAATTATCAGAATTTGTAAGTTAATACCGTTACGTATAAACAAATTTATTTGAGAAAACAAGATAAACGTATTACAACAAATAAGTTTAAATTATTTATTAATTATTTTTGACCGATAACAAATACATATTACTAAATTGTCGACGTCCTTTTGTTCATCTTTTGAAAAATAATGTCAGTTAAATACATTTAATTACGTCAATAAGATTAAATATATTTTTAATAAATTTTTAAAAAATTAGAAAATTTATTGGATTTCTTTAATTCAATGTAAGGGTTTCAATTGAGGAAATTCTTTTAATTATACATTACAAAATAATTGAATAAAATATAAAAAGTTTTCTAAACAAATTTGTTCAATGAACTTGAATAAATAAAAGAGAAACAAAAGTGACTTTCAGCTATAAATAGAAAAATAAAATTTATCGTTTATCTGTACAGAGTTAAATAAACATTTCGAAATAAAAATTTAAAATAAGTTCATATTTAACACCCTTTTCATATTGAAAAAATTATCTAATTCTTTTTGCCAATTTTTAACAAAGATTTTGGGAATTAATTAACCAGGAAATTACGCAAAAAGTAATTAGACTTCATTAAAATATTTTTTAATAAAAAAATTCAGTTTAAAAAACTCGTATAAATTCTAATGATTTTTCAAAAAAATTACCTATAACAATGACATCGGCTTGTTTCGGCAACACCGCATCCTGGCTACTTGAGTACTTTCTATTAGCACAGCTCAAACTTTCACGACTTTTCAATACATTTAAACTACACCAACGAATTTTGCAAGAGCGAATCATATTTAATTAATGCGCCCCGCCTGTTTTACTGTTCTATATGCTCTTTTAATTTACTAACTCGCACTAATATTAATTTTACCCATGCACATAAGCGACTTGTGCGTATGAGTATGAACTTTTTAAATTGAACATATGTAAATCGATTTTAATTGAGTTGTTAACCAATATAAGAGGAATAGCCGTTGCAATGTTGCCGCTGCAATGCCCAAAGAAATAACATTTATAAACAACTCAGATTATGTTGCCAAATTAACCACATTTTATTTGATCCTCTGTTGAAAATATTTTAAAAATCAAATTTTATGAATGAAATGGAAGCAGTAATAACAAATAATAATTAAGAATTAAAACATTGCCGAAGGAAAGAATTATTTATTTTAAGACCAATATTATTTATATGTATTTTACTTTATTTAAACTAAGGCCATCCATAAGTGTAGTGAATGAATTTATTTATTTTTTCAATTTTTACACCTTTTTAAACGAAATTTCCTAAACTGGTATGAAATTCCCGTAGATTTGACAACGCCACAGTTGACCTCTCAGTATCATTTTAAGATTATTAAAACTAAATTTATTGTTTGATAATGTTTGAAGAATCGATTTAACAGAGGCGAAAATAAATATCAAATAATTAATTTTATTATGCAAGCTCATACGAAGAAATAATAAAAACAAAATACTTTGTGGGTATGTACATTTTTTTAATTAATTTTTATCGCCCATTTTAATGGGGTGCATCAGAATCCTGATGATTCGATCCACTTAAACTATAAATTCCCCTCGTAAATTATGTTAGGAACATTTTTGTGTTTCAAATAGATTTTCGAAACACTTGTAAATTAAAAACAAAGAGTAAAAAGTACTTATATATTTACAAACAAATTAAAAACAATAACAACCTATTGTAAATTAAAAGCCTAATCCCAATGCTGATGATGGTGGACGGGTTCCAAAAACGTTTTAACTCTAACCGGTACGTGCTTTTTAATTATAATAGGATCAGGTACTGGCACGGGAACCTTTTTGTAAATAGGCACAGGTACCTTCTTCCAGTGATAAATCTTAACAGGCACGTGAATGTGCTCCTTAACGTGACCCACCTCGATGGGAATTGGAATTTTCTTAACAATCGGAACTGGAATGTCCTTGTAAACTTTAACAGGCACCTTTATCGGTACGTGAACTGGATAAGGACTGTCCACTTTAACATCAACGGGAGTTGGCACCTGAACAGGCACTCTCCTCTCCACCGGATAAGGAGCTGGACGAGCTACAGGAATACCAACTTTATTTATCACCTCAACGTGCTTCCTGACTTCTCTGCCAAGGTTGACTACGGTGCCCAAAGGAATTTCAGGCCCAACGTAATTGTCCGTACTGGGATCGACGGGATGTCCGTATACCGAAGAACCATCAGGTAGTAATCCTGAATTACCTGGACCAAATCCAGAAGAGCTGGGTCCAAACGAGGATGCTGAACCGTGCACTGGTACTCCGTAGGATGCGGACGGAATGCTGGCTGAAGGTACTCCATACGATCCAGATGGACTGTTAGCAAAGGCTGGTGCCCCGTAAGATCCAGATGGACTATGGGCAAAGGATGGTGCCCCGTAAGATCCAGATGGACTGTTAGCAAAGGCTGGTGCCCCGTAGGATCCAGATGGACTGCTGGCAAATGCTGGTGCACCGTAGGATCCAGATGGACTATTGGCAAATGCTGGTGCGCCGTAGGATCCAGATGGACTATTGGCAAATGCTGGTGCGCCGTAAGATCCAGATGGACTATTGGCAAATCTGGAGTTGTCATGGAATGATGGTAAATCCAGACTTCCGCTGCCGATGCCTTGATTATGCCCGTAGATACCACGTTTGGTTTTCCTTGGTTCGGCAAGGCAGGCGGAAAAGCCTATGGCGACAAAAATTACCTGTGAAATTAAATAGATAAATAAAATGTTGTTGTCTTTGAAGTGTGTATGAAACATTCAATCAAATGAATTACTTGACACATAATTCGTTTTAATTAACAATTTTTTCAAAACCTATATCTTCCTATATGAAATTAATAAGTAGATTCAATAGGTATCTACTTATTCAGAAGTTGATGATTATTAAAAATTAATAGTATTTTTCAAACTTCTATAAAATTTTATAATCAACCACTTCACACAATAAAAAACTACGAAAAATAATAAAAATTATCTAAATTTGAAATAAATAAAGCGACTTAAAAATAAATAACGAATATAACTTACAAATATCCTCATGCTTTTACGTAATCAAATCCACAAGAGACAGACAAGCACGACTGATCTGATCTGCAAGGAAGCACAAGCGTTTTTATACGTGCGTATTTTGAGGTTGCTTCTTCTTCTTCTTCGACTTCCTCGGATCATCGAATGTCGCCCACGCGGTCCTCTTAGGCCACAAGTCAAGTCGGAAACACGTAATTGATGATCTTTTACTACTCTCGGTTATTAATTATAGATTTAATTAGCAAATTAGCAAATATTTAATTATAAGTGGATACTTTAACTTCATAAACACGAATTAATATAGTTTTAAACAGGTAGTTATCTCGGATTATATCATTAAATTGCAGATTAGTGCATTAATTGTGTGACGAATATAATAAAGGATAAAAAAATTAAAGATGCGTTTTTAAATAGATATAAAATTGTTGAAAAAATGAAGAATATAATAGCGAATAAAACATTCAATAAAACAAAAATAATAGAATTTTTGTATATTTTTTAAAATATTTTACGTTACAAAAATGATTTACAAAAAATGAGTATTCTCTGAGTAATCTGTATTCTCTCGATATCTTTAATATACCCTTGGCAATGTAAGTTAAAAACCTGCTTATATTGCAAAATACCTAAAGCGTAACAAAGGTAAATTTTTTCTCGATTTTGCCTGTTTTGGAATACCTGAAAATGAAAGCGAAAATGTTATTACGTATTCTCGAATGAATTATTTATTAAAATTTGCTCGCAGCAGGAAGATTTTTAACTGGGTCAGCAAGATGACCAAAACAATAAAAAATGTAAGCAAGTATACGAGGGGTAATTGGTATTGAAGAAACAAAAAACGATGTAAGTATTAAGTTTTATAAAAAAAAGAATTTTACTGATGGAGTAATTTCTCTATTGTTGTTTCCAAGTATAAGTATAATTCATTAATTTTTGGTAAAATATTCAATATTAAAATGGGGCTACTTTTATTATGTTAAATGGAATAAAAACAAAAAAAATAATATCAGTATTACAAGTGTTAAAACAATAATGAAATAAACTATTTATAATTTAATTTATCTAGTCTCAATTTGAACTGGTCATTATTTGAAACAGATGAGATGTAGTCAACTAATCGGTATGCCCTCGTATACAAAACAATATGCAAATGTTATTTAAATTCTTGTTTTGTCGGATGGATTTTCTTCTGAATAAAATGTAGTCGGTTATGAAAACATTATCGAACAATATACGACCTACAAAAAACAAGAATTAACAGATAATAATTTTTAAGAGATTCATCCGGTGAAGGAAGATGAAATACAACTCATTTTTTCGCTGATTTTTAAAATTACGTAATTACGCGCGATATATTGATTTCAAAACATTGTGGGAAAAATAAAATTGTTCTTAGTTTCATTATCGAGGAAGGGATAAATACTTAAAACACGAAATAATTAAAAATTTTATATTTTCCGTTTAAATCTTAATCTCTACAAAAAAATTACACCGTACATCACTTTTACTCTTCCACAGTCTTTTTCCTTCTAAAACACGACAAAAGCGATCGAAAACAGGAGAAAAGCGATCCTGTCCATTTCGCCCCGCCATTGTCCCTCTTCGCGTCCGTAGAAGACGAGGGACCGGGCCGGGACGAAGAGCCGCACGAAGAAGAATTAAAATAGTAAAAATTCCCGTCCGCATTCCAACTCCTCCGAAGATTATCCACCACAACAGACGATCTCAAGTGCGCGGGGGCGGCAATTTCCTCCGCCGGTCTCGACTTCGAACGTCTCCTTTCTTCCCTGTCAACAAACACGCAGACCTCGCTTAGTGAAAACGGATTAACGCGCATGAAACGCTCACCTGTATTTCGCGTACTGCGCCACCACGTTCCCCTTGTACTCCTCCCTTCGATTCACGTCCCCCGCGCCGCCGTCGCCCAAGTGCTTGGAGTTCACCGGCCGCGGTCGCTTCAACTGGGCGAATTTCCTGCGCTTACAGGCCTCTTTCTTCTTCGCCCTCGGCGGCGGATCGTCCAGTATGGTCGTGCTGGTGGTGATCATTTCGTAGCCGCCCCGCGAGGAGGAGTCCTCCGCGACGAAATTGGGGTGGTTCACGTTATCCTTTGAGTTGCAGTCTCCGGCGCTGGACGAAGTCGGAGTGTAACGGGACGAGGCTATAGCATGTTTGGATGACTCGTATTTAACGATGACTTGGGGAAATAGGTTGTAGTTTCTGCAGGTGTTTTCCAATCCGGCCAGACGGGTTTGTAGCTCAGACATCTCTCTAATGCATTGCTTTGCTGATGATAGGTCGCTTGTGATGTTCGCGGAAAGAGGTTTGATTGTTGTATATTTCTCATTAGCTACATATTCAGTTTCTCTTTTACATTGGTTGTTGTATGCTTCATACTGCGTTATATCCTTCATATATTTGCTGTTATCTGATTCTTTATCGATCTCTTTTGGGTTGTTTTTAGGTGAAGATCCACTCTTCGAATATCCCGCCGAAGATGATTCTATCGCATACTTTCTTCCAGTAGATTTCTCTGCTCGACCGCTCTCCGCTGAAAGGCAAGAGGAAGACTCGTATTCGGATTCGATCCTCGCGCTTTCTCCCCTTCCAGGCGATTCGTTGACTCTGGTAGATCCGTCCGAGTTGGAGCCCAATTCGCATTGAATCTCCCTCGTGACGGTGAACTTTTCGATCATTTCCATGTCGAATTCGGGCCGTTTCTCCGGCCGCTTCTCCGACGGGCTCTTGAACAGGCCGTCGTGCAGGCTGATTTTCGTGCGGTAGGGAATGTTGCTCTCCGAGGCGGAGGGCATCTTGGGCGTTTTCAGCCTGTAGCATGATTTCTTCTTGGGGGGATTGTACTCCATGTCGAGGATGTTGGAGAGCGAGTCGGCCTCCTCGATTTTCGTGTAGCGCAGCGAGAAGGGGTAGATGGTTTGGATTTCGGTGCTGCTCGGCGAGCTTCGCGGACGGGCCTGCGGGAGCTCTTGGGTTTTCGATGAACAATGCTGCTCGCTATCGAAGTGTTAAGTATTTAATTGGTAGTTTATTTAGTTGTAGTTACAAAACGAACCTAGTATGTTCTGGTTTTTGTTCATCGTCTTCAACAATTTCGGTGATGGTGCATTTCCTTTGGTAAGCCGATTGGAAATACTTGTCGCCGTCATTGGCGATCTCTGCCAAATTCAATCTTCTCCGAACAATGTTCAACTTTTGGATGTACTCGTTGCGCAAATTGTACAGCTCTTTCTCGTCGTTTTCGTCAGAATTTTCTCTCGAGTAGTCGCCGTCCTCCTCTAACATAAAGACCACGTAGTCCCTGTAAAAGCCTCGCTCGTTCGGCTCGGGCGGAATGTCACCGTACGGGCCGCCTTCGATATCTGAAAATCGGGATGAACCGTTAGAGTGGCCGCCGAGGAGATGGCTCGGCGGGGCCTCCTTACTTCTGTAGGAAAGGCAATCGTTGGTTTTTACATCGGGATAGTCGGTATAATAAGAATCCGCCGGATCGCCGTCACTTCGACCTTTCGACGAGTTTCTTGACATTTTCTTCGTCGGTTGTCAGAATGACGTAGCTGAGATGTTGACGGGTTTATGATGCTTTCATTAGGAATTTATGAATGTAGTTGGATAATAAAATAAGTCAGTACTTCATTTGGATTAGTCTTGTTTTGCTTAATTTTTTTTAGTTACAATGTTCCAAATAATAACTGATTGTTTTCAAAATTAGTACCTACAGTAAACTGTTCAGTTCTTAATCCCAAAGAAACTAATTTATCAGTATTATCTTAACGATTTGTATGGGTAAGTGCAAAATTGTTTGCAATATGGTCAATTCTTTGATTAGAACAAAGAAAGATTATCAAAATAACAGTTTTGTTAAAGTGAGAATGTTGTAATCCCACAATATTACCCTATCTTTTTTCTTTTATATGTATGAGACTAATGGAATTCGTCTCTGTTGCACCCATAGCCTATATTGCAAACAATTTTGCATTTATCTGTATATTAAAAAACATGTAAAGGAATTGGAATAAGAAACGTGTTTTTTACAAATGCATATATTTTCAAAAAATATCAATTCTCAAAAAAATCGTTAAACCAACTTCATGCTATAACAATAGTCGCGAAACTAAAACTAAAAAGAGAAGAAAGCGTATTAAATTAAAATTTCAGTTCATCTTCTACGTTTTGGCCTGTATTTCTCCCAATGTCTGTGATTGACGGATGAAAAATCGTTGCAATTTTCCGCTAAATCCTTCAAATATTTCGACAAATACAACAATTCCTTGTCCTTTTCTCTGTTCAAATGGGCCTCTCTGAATGCCCTGATTCTCAGGCCGTTTTTGGGATTCATAAGGAAGTTTCTCCTGATATCGTCAAACATGATTGTGTTTTTCGCTGAAAATTGTTCGAATTTTCCCCAAATAACTCCGAGCGGTTTAACCTACAACATATACCTGTAAGAATCGTAATTACCGGTATGATTAGTACATACATCAACTACACCACTCTTAGGCAGATAAACCGAAATCATCGCAGAAGAATCTAAATAGAAGGCGATTTTATAGTTCGGATTCGTAGACACTCCCAACAATTTCATCTTCTCTTCGATCCATTTCATACTAGTAGCCGACCAAATAACAATATCGTAATAAGGATAAACGTGGATGAGGAACTCGTGCAGAAAAGGCCTCATCAACTCCGAACCGGTTTGAGCGGTTGATTTGTGATCGAACAAAGTATAGTCAATGTCTAACACAAGCAATTTCTTATCAGGTCTCAAATCGTTCAGCATTTTTATCTCGTACTCTTTGATTCGTTTTTCTACTTTGGCTAGATATATTTCCTGGTTTTCGATGGCTTGTACCTCTTCCTCTTCGGCTTCCAGATCATTCGTGACGTCGGGCATATCAGTGGGCGCTGTGTTGGCTGCCTTGATGTCCTCTTCGAGCGAGCCCATCATCATTAACTTGAAGTTGGGCCGGAGCTTTAACTGGGCTAACGGACAGTCGTCCAGTGGAGTTTTACCTTCACAAAGAAAGAGTAACAATGTAGTATTTTTTATTTGAGTTAAAGTAAATTGTTTTTTGTGTTTGAGATTGCAAAGGGGTAAAAAGTCGTTTACCTTTGTCCTTCAAATTGAGCAGTTTCTGTCGCTCGCACTTGACCTTCGTGACATTTTCTATGGATTTTTTTAGATCCAAAATCGTCTCGTTTTCGGATGATTCGATTTCGAACTCTTTGCCGTTCCATTTTAATATTATTTTGATCGAACTCATTTTGAGAGATCAATGACAACAAAACAAATAGCACGTAACCAACAAAACTCTTCTTTTTTATAAGATTTTTTATGTATTATTGCGTTCTATGATTTTATGTCACTTTTGAATTTGAAAAGTGAGACTGTCACCTAATACGATTTCAGCTACTTTAGTTTTTTAAATATATTATTTCTTTTTTTTCAGGTTACAAAAGAATGTAAAAAAAACTCAAAAAATTCATGAATGTTTTATTTCTCAAACAGCCGCTGTACAGCCCATGCCGGAAATTTGCGCAAGCACATTTTTCAAAAAGTCGCTGGCCGTAATCAAACCTTGATTGAGTTGATTGACCACATCTACACTTGATGGAGCGAACTGATTGATCACTTGACCAACGAATTTCACTATCAGCGACAGCCCTTCGATGACGGTACTGCGGAAAATGCTGATCAAGTTCAGGTAGGGCTGGATGACGGTGCAGCCGAGGCTCACCAGGATGTTCAAGATGGCTTTTAGAATTATATTCAAGAGGTTCCTTATGAAGTTGTTAATTGAATTCTCTGCAGGAGGAGCGACTTCACCTTCTCTGAGCTGCAGCTGTCTTACAAGAAGTGAATCGCTTGTTGGTTGACTCCTGGGCGCAGCTGATGATGAGACCGACTCGATTAATACTACCTAAAAAACGTTACACTTTGAAATTCCTGTTAATTTGTTAATTAATTTATAAAAAGCGATTAAAAACCATCAAACTTAGGTGCAGTTTAGCTAAAGGATGAATATACAAGTTGTCCCGCTTAATAAGAACTGATACAGCTTAAACAACACATTGTCGGCTCCCCTATACGCCTCTGCATTGTGTCAGTTCTTAGCGGGACACCCTGTATAAAAAAGCGGAAAGCTTCACCTGGGCAATAGAAAGATCAAATTTATATGAAATGAATAAGCATAAAAAACAAAATGAAATATTATTTAAAAGATTTATTTTGATTTCCTGAAAGGGAACTTTTAAAAAGTAACAAAAACTCAAAAACCACTTACTGAAAGTATGATGCAAATAAAAATTTTGGCGAACATTTTGTTTCTATTTCTTGTAAACTTGCAGGTCGTTCTCAATGAGCCTCTGCCTTGGAACAGCTTTTAATATAGTAAAGGAATGACATACCATCATAATGCCGGGATTAATTTTATTTGAACTATTTATTCGTAATATTTACACGAGAACAATCACATTGTCTCGTAATCTGATGGTATTTTCTTTTTTTTAGTAATTAAATGTTATCAATCGCGAAATGAAAAACAAGGGTACGTCAATTCAAAGGAAATGAATTACGCAATTACGTTGTAGTTTTTTAAAAGTTGAAATGATCTCACTTTTGTGGCAGAATTTTCGGCTTTTTTGATACTTTATTGTTCGATTTATTGTTAAATTTTATTGAACTTTGACTATATTTATTAATTTATTATAGACAGTTCTTTATTGATGTCTGGATAATAATCGAACCAACAATAAGATGAAATAGGAAGCAAAGAAGCGAATCAAAAGCAGTTTTTTATGCAACTTTATTAAATGTTATGACACTTTTCAAATGATATGTATTTAAAAATCAAATGTACAATTTTTGCATTTTTTATCGCAAATAATAGATTTGTTATAGAACAGATAACAATCTTAAAAATAATAACGTGCTATAAAATTCTGCGCATAAATGATATGAAGATAAAGTTGAATTATACAGAGTGAATCATTCTATTAATAAATAATGACAAAATTTATGTTCGTATCCAAATATTACACCTATTCTTTGCATTGTTGTGAAATTATACGAACATAATGAAATCGTTAATTTGAGACAATAATTTCAAATATTACAAAATATACTAGCTTTCTTTCCTCATAAACATACGATTCTATCAAAATTTGAACTTATTATTTTGAACAAATACAACTTGATTTAATTCTAAATAATCGTGAATATTGCCGAATTTCGAAAAATTGGTCAATTTGCAAAATATCACTATTCTTAAAACGAATTTGTCCAAATTTTTAGAACATTGATAATTATATTTAAAGCGTTCATTGTTAAAATTTTGGTCCTTAAAAATAGTCTCTTATGAAAACACTAATCACTTTTGAAGCGATCAGTCTTCAAAAACTGTAAACTTATATTTATTCAGTAAATACTTTTTAAACTGAAAATAGTTAATTTAATTATCATTCAAAAAATACACCCTGTAATTTAAAACACACATTATCCGCGCGAAACGAGACATACTGAAACTTAACAAATATTATGTGGTATTGAATATTATAGTTATTTATTTATACGTGGTGTTTTTTCAACAAATATAAATTGCGGCATTCTCAAGTACCCCATCAATTGCTTTTATATTAATTTGATTAAATTGCAATTTGCCCTCTCCAGCATATTTTTCATACTAAACACTTAAACACAGATTTGTTTACCAGCAATATTTACAATGGACAGAAAAAATAATTGGTACTTTACATATTCGTTACATAAATAACTACCTATGTTTTTACCCTAAACATTTATGTTGATATGATATGTACACACAACTTTTGCCTATTATAGCAAATTTCCTTGCAATATATTTTTTATTATAATATTTTGCTTATAAAAAATTGACCGTAGTTTCGTAGAAGCTCTTTTTATATTCAAAATATTCGAAGACTTCAAAAGTTTATAAAAAGGCCGGTTTTAATAGTATTGTATCTTCCATCTATTTCAGGAAGTTTTTAATATCAACAGTTGGTGGAATTAAAAATATCCCGATTTTTCTAATAACTGATACATCACATTTTGGTGAAAACCAACGATATCGTTCAATTTAGAGTAAATTCCGAATATTTCACAACCATCCCTACCTTAGAGGATTCTCCTAACTTAGAAAGCCCTTTTATTATTATGAGCAGCTCGTTCGAGTACCAATCATTGACCAATTAGCTAAAATTTCTATTCGTGAAATTCGGAATCGTATAGAACTACCAGAAATAAGTGAGAAGATCTTCAAATCCTAAACTGTAATCCCCAATTACTCATTAGAGTTTACCAGTTAACCCAGTGGGTACTATCAATGTTACTTAAAATCGTCGATAATTCAAAAGTTGGCTGTATTAATTTAAGATGGGTTAAACAACATATTTTAGCCTCCCCTACAAGCCCCTGCTTCGTATCCCTTCTTATGTGGGACACCCTGTATAGCTACGAATCTGCATTAGTAACGTTCCATCTATCTAATCATAACCGGGTACTTATTGGAAGATTATTTCCGAATTAAGAGGAAGTCTAGGAGTTATAAGCATTATAAAGCCTTCTCATTTATGTCCAGTACTAGTATACTATTTGTACTTGAATACCCACGTAAATTTAGGACTCGCGTCGTTGTCAATGGAATTTCGAATCAACAACCCATCAAACCTCTACCAGTCTCTTCGAGCGTCCTGTTCGTCAACCGTTCGATTTCCACCAACAACGTCCGCGTCTCGGAGTCCAACTCGGTGGTGACGGCATCGACGTTCTCCAGGGACTGCTGGACGTCGTCCCATTCGAGCGAATCGGCCGACGACGAGGACACTCCCGAGCGATCGGAATCCGCGTTCGACCTGCATCTGATGCCGGATTTGCGGCCCGGTAGGCCGGAGAGATCCTCGTGGAGTGTGGTCCTGAAACAGCAGGGATTTGAGCATCCCACGCGAGGTGTTTTGTTCCGAGTATCACCATGAGCTCCAGGACGGATCGCGGGCGACCATCACCGATTCGGGCAACGTCTCGTTATCCCATTCTAAGTCTAAGCTGCTGCTGCCGACGGTGGAAAGGGAGTTCCTGTGAAGGAGGGCGCGGACGTCGAGGCATTGGAGTTGGATGTCTTTGCTGCTAGAAGATCTGCGCGAAAAATGACGTGGGATAGAAAACATTTGGAGATGTTTTAGTTGGTAACACTTACGCAAGGGAAGAGAGTTGCTGGGATTCAGAAAGCCTGCCATATCCCAATGGTGGTGCCATCCGCAGACCATCGACCAATCGAAGGACCGATCTCTGTTATGAAAGCGTTTTGAAACATACGTAGGTATGCAGAAAAATGAAGGGGATATTACTTGGCTCGTTTTATGAAACTAAATTCGTACTATGAGTACACAAAAGTACTATTTTTGGGACAGAAGATGTCTAGAGAATTAAATGTGTAATGAGGGTCACCTACTTATTCAGCAATACCTCAGTGGTTTTACAGATTCCTGAGAATAGAATCTTTTCCTTTTAGAATAGGCTAAGGAACATACCCTTCATTCTTTTGTCTAATATTTTTGATCACCCTGTATATTGACAATGCAAAATGTAACAAAAGTCATGCTTCAAAAATTCAAGATGTAAGGTAGACTGGGGCAAATGTAAAAATGGGGTAAATGTATCATATTGTCAACATTTTAAAAAATATGTAAAATCGTTTTCCTCCTTTTTCAAAAAAACTTTTTATTACCTCGATTCTTTAGTTTAGGAAGTTGTGAATTTAATGTGGTATCAGCATTTCTAATAAGAGAAAAAATAAAGCCACATTTTAGGGTTTAATTTGAACTATTCGAATTTTACAACCGATTTGCCACAGTCTACCTTACTCATTTTTGCATGAAAAATGCAATAGGGAATAGAAAATATTACAAAATTGCTTCTGCAAATATTGTTTTCATGCAAAGACTATTAATAGTGAACGCGTAAACAAGACTATAAATTTATTCATGCTTTCTTATGGATTATGGATTATTATCTTATGGAATGTGAACAAAGAAAATAATTCATGTAAATGTAGTCTTATGCGAGTTTTGCACAAGTTCAGAATTGATTTTATCCAGAATTAAAATAAATTCCTACTATATTGTGCATCCATGCGCTGTTCGATAGACTGTGTGTGGATAAATTTACCTTTTTGTCTTTTCGCTTTCCAAACAACCGAATAAGGAAGCTTCTGGAAAGCATGGAAACAAACAAACAAAAAATATATGTAAAACCAACGGGTAAAAAAAACACTCGATCCAAACTATTCTATTACCTTTTTTCATCTGATGAAGCACTCTGAAATTAAAAGAAATAAATAAAACAAACTAGGATATTATTTCACGAATCTACTTACATTTTCCACGAGCCGTTCAAAGTTCCCAACATCATCCGAAGTCCCCGAAAGGCCTCTCGAACGGCCCTCACATCCGCTAAAACAGTTCCCCATCGCCCTGAGGCAATAGCGCTCACGTCAACCCCCATGGGGCTTCGATGTTTCACCTGAAGAACCCGTCTTCTTCAATGCTCACACAGTTATGTAAAGTATCTCTGTTTCCTACTAGCTAAGTTTATTCACTGTGTTCAGAGGCACCACAGAGAAAGCGTTCCCGAAGGTACCTTAAATATGTGCTTCAGAGTTAATACACGAAAAATATGCTGTATTAACTAGCAAAACCGATTAATTTTGCAACGAATTTCGTGTGATTTAAGTCATTTGGAAATAAATAGCATGTAATTACCGTGGGAGGGTTGGATTTTTCGATTATTTAGTTGCACCCCTTTAACCGGGCTGCTTACCTAAAACAATGGAGAATTGTAAGCTTCTTTGTAATTGTAAGTTATTCGAGGTGATGTTGTTTTTGTTGTTGTAATCGATTGCAAATTCATTTGAAATATTTTGTTGATGACTTGCCTATCCCCGTCACTTGTGAAAAGAAAATATGAATGTCAACAAAATATGTTGTAACCCAATAACATCATCGTTTGAGGCCTAAATAAGTAAAGTAAAGAAAGAAGAAATACGGGGTTGTCTCGATATATTACACTCATTTTATATAAGGTGTTAATTAATTGAATGCCGATACTTCAGTATGTGAATATTTGATTGATTTTAAGAAGAAAAGTTTATATCAATGTATGTCCTAAACCTCTTAGTTTTCGAGCTACAGGGTGTTAAAATTTTAGAAAAAAAAATAACTTCTATCCTGAAGTATCGGCATACAATTAATTAACATCCTGTATTGCAAATCCTGTAAATTTTTAATATCTAAATGAAAGATATTTAGATATTTGTAACATTTATTGAAAATAAAGCAAGAAGTTTACAAAAATACTCATGAGTGAAATAATCTACTACAAAATAACGATTAATAATAACTATTTTAACAATATGTTTGATTAAACTAGTTATGTTTTCTTTTTTAACGAAACTCAACTCTTCAACAATTTGTCTTAATATTAGATAATAATAAATATTACATAAAAATATGTATATGATATACAAAAAAATAAAAGAAACAGTAATGTTGACATTTATCATACAGTCTAATTTTTTATATTAAAAGTTTAGGCCTAAAATTAGTGAAATAATTCACAGAGAGTTAGGAATATGGTAAAACTAATGGATAAACCCTACTTTAACAACAGAGTAGAGAATAAATCACAGACATTAAATGCCGTTTACATAACACTTATTGACAAACATATACAAAAGTATGAAATATATCGTACGTCATAACCACCATTATAAGTATAACATCTATATTTTCTGTTAAATTACAGAAGCGTTTATCGTTTTGTAATTGTGAAGACCGAGTTATTATAATTATCGTTTGGCCTTTTTCAGAATACACTCATAGAGAGAGATATTTATGTAAGAAATATAGTAGCAAAAGAACGTAGACAAAGAAAATTGTGAAAATTTGTGGCACATTTTCTCACTTATTTTTTTAAATTTTTAAACTGAAAACCATCGTTAAGAAATCTTCGTAATGAATGGTTATGTATCCGTCTTGATCAGTATCGCGTTGTCTAAAAGCTGATGTTAAGGTCTAAAAATTAAAAAAAATTACAATTAATTAATTCACAAATTAATTCAATTTACTTACGTATAACACGATGCAACACTGAATGAAATCGTCAAATAATATTGTCCCGTTGCCGTGCCTATCGAATTTTCTTACAAGTAAACCGATTACTTTGTCAGAAATTCTATAACCAAATGACGTTAAAGCGATCTTTAGTTCGTTTTGATCGATGTTACCGGAATTGTCTCTATCGTACGATCTGAAGCAATTTTGCCAATCTGTAACATATTTCCATAGCGCTCCAAAATCTTCAAAGCTTACTTGACCTCTGCCGTTTCTGTCAAACATTCCTACAATAAACATGTTGTAAAGCAATTATTTAAAAATGTTATTGTTAAAATAAATTGACTTACCAATCATTAATCGAATGGTTTCTGGATTGAATGGACTCCATGTTCCGTTGGAAAGAGCAAGACCAAGCTCGTCTGCATTGATAAAACCACTTCTGTCCCTATCTACCCTAAAAAATTACAAAATACTTTCGTATAATAATCGCGTAATAAAATGTACAATAAATTCTAACCTTTGAAAGACGTCCCAAAGAAAATCCCTGTTAGGCATAGGTGAAGAGAACTGACTCATCCTGCTGATATTAGTTGTCTGCCCGGTAGGATGTTCGAGATTACTTTTATTTACTTGTAAAAGCGGACGATTGCACAATTTGATAAAATTCTGGAGTGTATTTTTATTTATAGCCTTCCTAGTTTTTGTAAAACGTCACTCCTGTCACTTATAGATGACAAGATGACCTATGAAGATGACGTCATTTGACAGTCTGATTTAGACATTAGTCATAAAACGACAACTTTTGAACTTGTTGACAAACAGAAGTCACGGGATGGGGGAAATACAAAACGTAATTTACGTCAATCGAAATTCGAAAGTCAAAAAACATCTTTCTTTTTCTATGCTACGTCTTTTGGAAACAACAACTGATTGTTATGCAACACTTTGTACAATTTGTGTATACATACAGCTTATGGATATGCCAAAGTTTTTTTTATTTATTTTGATGAAAATATTTATAAATTATCTTACTATATTGGTACTTATTCCCATGTTCCTATCATTAAGGCTTTGGAAAATCATATCTCATTTACTGCAATAATTTTAGTAAATTAGTATAATAAATATTGCGATATGAAATATCATTGTTCAAAAGATAAAAAACATCATTTGTAACACTTCGATTAACAATCTATATAGGAAATTGTTTTATAAATTTAATCATTAGAAGTTGATGAAACAATGAAGAAAAAACATATTGTTTTACTTAGAAATTACTAAATTTCTAAATAGCATTCTTTAAATTTTAATTAGTTGATGAATGGCTTGTTTCTTCTTCTTCTGTATTTGTTTAATAATTATGTAAAACAATAAATTGGTTATTAAATCGTCTTATTTAAATCCCATGGCGAGTGTCACCTCCAAATGTATATCACATCTAATATTTCTTAAGATTATAAGTACTCTTTAATATTGTCTTCACCTTCATCCTTATTTAGTCAAGCCAAAAGAAAATTTTGTGCAAAACCAGAAATGTCCATGAAAATAGAGAGAAAATTTTGTGCATAAAAGTTAAAAGTAGAGAGAAAATATTCATGAATGTAGAGGGATTATATTTATGAAAGTAGGGAGAAAATTTTGTACATAAAAGTAGAGAGAAAATGTTGATGAAAGTAGAGAGAAAAATTTACAAAAAAAGGTTTACAAAAGTTAGTATGAAACCAAAAGTTAGTATGAAAGTGACAAAACGTCACCGAAATTTCAGATTTCACTACTTTTACTGATGCACACAATTTCATAGTACTGAACTATGAAATTGCTACTAAACTTCTAGCCTTTTAATATCCAATTTTAGGATTAGGTGTACAAATGCGATATGCTTATACGGTTTTAATGATTTCATGTCAAGGCTTTTGTAGATACAGACTTGCTATTGATAATATAATTTAGGTAATATTATTTTTGCCACTAAATTACCGCGAAACTAATTGCTCGCCATTCATATATAAAAAACTTATTACACTTTTCAGATTTGTTCACATAGAAATCAAACTCTGTCCAGTGCAACACGATGATTGAAATTTGCAAGTTAATATTCGTTATAGCCGTTACAGTTAAAATAACTGAAGCTTGTGTAAGTAATGTTTCGTTTAAATTTTTACATTATACAGGGCGTTATAAGGGCGTATTTTAGAATGGCTATAACTTGAAAGTAAACCGAATCTCAACTTGTATAGACGATAGCATCGTTGTACCGCATAATGTGGATTTGAAGTTCGACCCAAATTGCAATTTAATAATAGAAGGGTGCATAGAAATGGTTAAACCTACGAAATGGGCTAAGGTATTCATTTTTAAAGACTAACTGTAAGTTTATTAGTACCCAAGAATAATTTTGTAGGGTACTTATGAAGCAAATAAATCACCCATGCCTCCTATGAAGGGCCCTGTGGATATGTGCCAGATACTTGGGGATGCAAAGGTTCCTCAAGCTGGTGAAATAATTTCCGCATTTGGATTGCCGAAAAAATGCCCATTATCTGCTGTAAGTGCATTTATATTCTATTCATTAAGACTCGAGTTTAGAGAGACTTCAGTAAATGCAGGCTTCCCATTCACTTATTTCATTAAATTTAAGCTCTTTAACAGCTCTTTTGATTTCAGAAAAAATATTGCGTGAATGGCAAAAAGAGCGTAAATATATCAGCATTCAAGAAAAAACTTACGCTACTCGCAGGCCAATTAGATTTGAAATTCGATGTCGAGCACGACAGCGGTAAATCATGTGTGGATATTAACATTACTGTAAGCAAAAGGAAGTAAAAGTCCCAGGTCTGTTAATCTAGATTATTCATTAGGCTTTATTTTTGTTCACAACGTGTTGTACAATTTAAAATCACAGTAATAAAACTAAAACATATGCAAGAATAATTACTTACACAAAAAATTACTTTACATAATAGGTAGTAATCAAATCATGGTAAAGATAAATTCAGTTTTCGCTACATTACCAAATATTTGCTTTACTACTTTTTATGTAAAATAAAATCCTCTATTTGAACATTTAAAAATTTTGCATATCCTATATTAGCACAGCCTTATTTTAAACGGAATAAACATGCAATGTGTTGAATTCACAAAGAATTCTCGATAATTGATGAGTTGTGATGTAGAAACATGTACCCTTAAAGGGCTTGTTTTTTGAGATACAGGGTACAAAAAATGTTGTGTTATATCATAAAAATAATATCAATTATAAAATATTATACCTATTATAATTACCAAAATTTTTAAACGAAAGTAGCCTTGTGATTTTCAGAGTAAGATTAAATGAATTTACAATATTAACAAAACCTCCTAAGGTTTACTTTCGTTTAAAAAAATTGGATTATTTTTATAAAATCTTATTAAATCCTTTTATGACACATTGTGTTCAGCTATTATCATATATTCTATGTCGGTAATTACATACAATATATTTTCAATTGTCCATATAATAATTGTTCGTACGTTTTAACAGCACCTGACTTAAACCGAGATAGTTAAAACGCGTGCAATGTTCGCATCAGAATTTACAAAAAAAATTAAACTAAACCTAGTCTTATTAATTCTATTTATTCGGCCGTTACCAAAGTGCTTTAAGCTAAATAAATATCGAATATTTATTCGAGTTCGGAGACCGTTCGAGTAGCCACTACCGTAGGCTCAACTTCTTGTTTACTTTCAACAGTATCGCCACCACTGCCTTTATCTTCTATTGCGTGATCGGCTGATTGTTCAATGGGCTGTTGTGATTCTTCGTAAGAAGGCGGATTGCTGTTATGTGCAGTCTCGTCTATTGTTTCCTCACATTTATTAATCTCCTGTACACAGCTCGAACTATTGAGCGAGAGTTCATCATTGACGACTTTCACTGATTTTAATTCTGTTATTTGGTTGGTAGGCAAAAATTCTTTAGACGGGAATTTGATGATATTCTTATCCTGAAAAGTGAATTATTTTAATATAATTTCACAATTCTCATTACTAGATTTTTTAAATATTTGTAATTATTCTCAATGTAAGTAATCGTCACTAATCGCTGTCTGTGAATGTCAAGTATTATATCAGAGTTATTTAACTAGTTATATGAAAGTTAAAATTGTTCATTTACTTCGTAATTTGGACAACAATGTTGTTGCTTGCAACCTTCTCCTATACAAGAAACTAAACAATTTAATGTATATTTCGAACTAATGCTTTCCATACTGGCGTTTTTCTTGAAAAATTCCGGCTGTATCGTCACCTGGGTAATACCATTTTCATTGAAGAATTCTTTAACTTCCTCTATGACTTGTTTGTACACCTAAAATTATAAAAAAACATAAATATTTGAAATCACGTATAATTCAAAACACTTACTTTAGGATTTTGGAAGATAATGTGAACTGTGGAAATTACTTTGGATGCCGTTAATTGCCATATGTGGAAATCGTGGACATTAACGATGTCTGGAAAATGCTTTAGTAACTGAATTTTCAGCGCATCGATGTTTATTGTATCTGGCATTGTTTGAAGAAGTATAAGGCAACTTTCCTTCACTAAAAATGCATTAATACATTTTACCAGTTTTTCTTTTTACTACCAATTCGTAATCTAATGGCTTCTTTACTTACTATAGGGGTAGCTTAAAATCATTATAAATGCAGACGACATCAACGCCAAAATAGGATCAATAAATTTAGCTGTATTCTTATCGGTAAAATACACTAAAACCGCGCAAATTATCACTATAACACAACCTAAAACAAAAAAATAAATCATAAACCTTGTTTATTGCATAAATTCTAATTTATACCATTGATATCTCTGGTCATTTCCCAGACCCCCTGTCTTTGCTTCTGGGGCACTACAGTTGGGTGGATATTCTTACTTCTGGACAGTCTTCTTGCACCTTGTTTCAATGACTGCTCAATCACCACTTTGCTCAAAACCACGTCTCCGCTTTTTGTCACATAGAGGAAACTACCTTGGTGGAAGGTATAACCTCCGATAAGCAAGTACGTCACTCCATTGAGCAATAAACCTGCAGCACCTAAAAATTGCATTCCATAAAATAATAAAAAAGTAGAGGCATTTAGGAAGTGAACAATTAGTTAGAAGATACCCAAAGAATGTAATTAAGAAGAGGGAAATTATGGGTACTAATTTTTCAAAGAAATAGTTAGTACCAATAAGTTTATGAATTTTTGCGGATAGAAATAACGTTTACCTAAACATAAAACAGATATGGGATGATGCATTTCGTCGTGATGATCGATGTGAATTAAAGTCTGTATCGCTTCGACTAAAATAGAGAAACTAAGTGATGCTAAAAACACGCAACAGATCAACATGAAGATTACATCTGTTCTGGCCCAACCGAATGTGTTCCTCAGTTTTCTCTCCTGGTGCGACCTGTTTATCGTGGTTTTCGACTTTTTCTTATCCTGGCATTTCGAGGACAATTCCTCGCCGGAGGATTCCGTGGCGTTCGACGGGTTTCTCAGATGCGGCATGGGATCGTCCTTTGCATACTGAAATTAGGCAAAATACGGAAATGAGCTTCAGTTTCGTTGAAATTATACCTGCTCTTTTTTAATGAAAACCCTTAACACTCTGTATATTATAATAATTGCAAGCAAAATAAATTTTATTATGCAAGCAACCTTGGTGTACGTATCCAAAAATACCTACCATTTCCGTTTATATTATATATTTTTTATGTATAAGGACTTGTCCATATCAAGACACACATTTTAATGCGATTTAAGCATCATGCAATATGGAAAATGATATTGAATAGATTCATAGTGAAAGTTATTAAAATTTGCGTCAATAAAAAATATTTTTTACAAAAAAATCACTCAAGTGTTTTAGTAGGATAATCTGAATGTTAGGTAGGGTAGGGCGGGGCTAGTTGAGCAACTTTTCACTTTAGCGGATATAGCTCATCAATGATATGTGTGAATGACTTGTTATGTGGCTTGATGGATTAGTAATTTATCCCTTAACAAAAGTGTCCATAGTAACTTTTTTGTAACTAGTTGAATTTAAGAGCTACAGCTGTTTAAATGCAGAAAGTCAAGTATGCTCAATGTACCCCATAGGTGAGGTAAGTTGAGCAACGGTATGTTTACATATAGGATATGTTTATTTTTATAATAATCTCTTTATTTATTGTGATTTAGTGACAAAACAACAAAACTTAAAGTAATTTACGAGCTTTCCGTTTAAAATCAGAATTAAATAGCTTAAAAAAATATTAATAATATATTAGCAAGTTTTGGTCGTTGTTACTGTTGCAATTAATACAAATGAAAGTAAGACCATAGCACCTGGAAGACATTTTATTTGTGCCCATTCCCTGCAAGCTTGGCAGTGAATCCAACTTTCTCCTGGTAAATTTCGCAGTAGTTGCTCAACTAACCCCAACCCGCAATTTTAAAATAAAAGTGAGGTCATAAAGAAATCGTAAGAATTATAACCTGAACATCTCTACATATCAAAAGTACAATAATTTTCTGGAATATTAACCCTTACCCCATTGAAAACGGATAATATTTGACTAATACAGACGAAAACTTGCGATAGACGACGTTTTTACTTTTTGGTCACAAAAAAAACAAAACGCACGGGGGCTTTACTCGCTTGTCGAGGCGCCACTTGCAATAGCTCTGTGATTAGGTCTCCCCCGACCCCTTCTTTCCGCCATAAGATGTTTATGCGTACGGTGAATAGTTTGCGAGATATTTCGATTGCACAACTTACCCGTATGCTCAACTAGCCCCGCCCTACCCTACTAATATTTGTGAAATTTTACAAATTTCCATCTTATTAATTAGAAATGAATAATGAATAAAAATGAACAAATAAATTTTCTATCGTTTTGTTTTTACTACATGCAATAATTTCTCCAATTGTAATCAATTCTTTAAATGCTTTTCCACATGTTTACATTCTAGAAACGTCATTGATGGTCTACTTCCTTCAAAATGCACACAAAACTGTGTGAAATTAACTTAAACCGAATAAATGACTTCTCATTGTTATTATATAAAAGCCGATATAATTATATAACTCGGCGCAAGTCGACCGGTAAATTGATAAAAGAAACTTTATAGGATAAAAACAGAATTTCACCGAACAATTAAAATAATAGCGTTGAAAACACTACGTACCTTTATTGTTACTATACAACCTCCTAATGCCATAATATTGCAAAGAGTGTGATAAGAATCCATTAGAAGCGTCAACGCATGAGTGAGGTGACTGATGATTAGTTCCACTAAAAAGAAGGCTATTGTTAAACTGAGCACCACGTAAAGCTGGAAAGGTTGCATCCGTCTGACCCATTCTTTCATTGCCATGGTTAAAGCCTTCTGTAACAGAAAACGTGATTCGTTTTATAAATATAATTCAGGTAACGTTGCAACAAGCACCGGGTTAAAAAAGTTGAGACAATTATGCTGCTAATATTATCTATAAAAATTCAGATCCTAATGTATCTACTTCTAATTGTAAGCTATGTAATAGAAGAGTAATATTATCTGCTGAATTTTTTACAGATACAAAGTTGAATGATGATAAAATTCTTTAACTAACAATGTAAATTTCAAAATTACCTGCCCAAATGGTAACTTATTGAAACTGAAAGTTGGTTTTTCAGTACGTACGGTGTTTATTCATCACGTGTAATGCATATTCACCTATGTATTAGCCGATAAAAACCGACTAACCGTCGCAGCAGCTACCATTCAACAAATAAACGGTCTTTTATTGCCAATTAAACAATCAGATGCAATACAATTTTGAACTTCCGTTTCTGTTTAGTATATGGGAATAGATCGCGGACTGTTCTGACTGTAGAATTGAATCCAAAAATAAATGAAACAATGTGAAAAACTATTTAAATTCATGACTTCGCTATGCAGAAAAGAGCAATGTAGGGAATAATTTCGAATCACGGTGAGATGAGTAAAAAATATCAAAACAAATTTGTGATTCTGCTAGAAAGAGCGTTCGTACTGATTTTATCAGGACAACAAATTATTTAAATTCATTCTTGGTAATAAAATATTAGCAGGTAAATCAGTCCAATGTTTATTAAATAGTCCATAAAGAATTTATTTGTCATTAATCAGAATGCGTAAGTGCCTACAACAATGATTATTTTAGCTCGAACAAATTATTGAATGCCACTAAATATTATTTTCGATTATTTTTGAATACACGATCACGAAAACATTTCGTAAAGATTCTACAGCGCTTGTTTTTATCACGATTGACATTTACATTCATAATAATTGTTGACATATTATTTTAGTTTATAATTTTGATTCTTCTAAGTTAGAGATCAAATTTCGTTGCCACCATCAGACGAATCTCTCGATAAATAGTCTGGGTTATGATAACCCAAATTCCTTGTTATCGCAAGCAATCCCTAGATATCAGTAATTAATTACTTACCTTTATAACTCAAAACACTAATAATAATTGTATAACTTAAAAATACACAAAATATGAAATGTAACTGAAAGTAGGACAATTAAACCTTTCTATACTTAAGCGAATAATATACTGGTGAAATTACTAAATTATACTGTTTTCTGATTATTTTACATAAATTTTAGTATTGGGGCTGTGTGCAACACGAACAAATATTAAAATTATTATATTATACGAACACATTACGATAGGGATTGAATAGTATTAACTGTACAATTCTTATCTCGTTAAGAAGAAATTCTACATTTTATCATTATCATCCAGTATTGTTAATTATTGACGGCAAAGTTCATGTTCAGTTCTTATTTTATGTTTATAATAACAACAATTTTTAAAACCTTTAAAATGCGAAAAACGTAAATAATAGTAGAGTAATTTGTTTATTATGCCACCGATTATAAATGAATTAATCAAAATATACCTAAATAAACCTAAAAACCTAAAAATTACTCAAATTGCTTTAAAATAAATAAACAAAAATTAATCTAAAGAAAGGGGACTTGAAATTTTATTATTCGTAACAATGAATTTATTATAGACATATGGATGAACAAATTTCTGAACAATGAAAGTTTATTTAAATGTAAATATAGGTAGTTTGTTATGTATGTACCTACCTATGTATATGTGATTTTGTGAATATATCAAACGTCAAATCAAAAAAATTAGCACGAGAATACTGAAATTATGAATTCGATTTCACAGATTTTTAACAAAAAAATACTAAACTGCACTCTACATAAACATGTCACCGAAATTTCATAACATAATTTCAGTAAATATAGGACGTAGTAATTTTCCGAACCAGTAGAAAAATAGCCGGAACAAATGTAATTCCATGACGGCAAAGTGTAATTATTCTGTTAAAGCGAATCGAATTTGTTAATATCAGTGATAAGTTAAATAAACTGTAACTTGATAAGAATACATAATTTTTCTGATAGACCTATTATTTTCTCGTTAACATTTGCATCTGTGCTTTCTGATATCGAATGCTTTCTCGTTGCTGATACTAGATATAGGTTTGTAAGAACAATAACATTACCCAAATACCATCATTTGAATAAATTAGCTTTTAAGATACTTTACTCGTACCCATAAATTTCTCATTTATAAGCCATTATCGCAAGCAGAAGATATAACGATTTTCTTCAAAAATAAGAATTCTCTCACAATGGAGTTCTTTTTATGAAACTTTAATTGAACTCGTAAATAAATTAAATTCAACTCTAAACAGAATCAATAAATATGATAAATATCAATACGCTGCACCTAAGCTTCTAAATGAGAAATATGGTAAGGATCAGGAGACCACATTCTCACCTTTTTCTTCTGTTGGCGTCAGAACAATGAAAATATTTTTTTTAATTAACCAGTATCCTTTAGAAGAAGATTTAAACTTTGCCAAACTATAATACCATACCGCGCGGTTGGAGGTTTTGATTCTTTTATTTCTAACCTGCAGTATTTGATATTCGCCCACCAGAGGTTGTAACAATAAAGGTTGTTGACACTGATTTTAATCATTCGGCTCTTTTATCGAGATTTCTTCAGACTTCATGTATATTCCAATCGATATTCATTCAGAAAAGTATTCAAAATATTTTTATAAAGATTGGCATTTTTAATGATTCGGTTAAAAATAAACCAGTCGATTGTAACAACATTGAAATAAATAACCACTTGTTTTGTAAAATCTCCAATTCTATACAATTAAAGAGGTTTAAAATGATTTATGTTTGCAAGCTAAATTATTGCTTTGTTAAATAGCTTTTTTTGTTAATAGTATTTCATTAAGATTTAAAATTATCAATAAGTTACCTGCTTTTATTTTGTTGGTACTAATAATTAACCGTATTTTTGATATTTTGGTTGATTTTTCTCTCAAAGACACTAAAAACCAAAAAAAGTATGAAATAATAACAAGAAATGAATGAATGAAAGAGGTTTTGAGGACACGTGAAGAATGAAGAATGTCAATACAAACTCTCCAATCATTGGTACTTTTTAAATTCTTTTTATCGATATAACTTTATATAGAGACAAAATTACGTCTCTAATCTAAAGTTTGATTTCTTAGAGCCTGATAGATCTTTGATATTGTTGATATACACTTCTTCAGTACCTGTATTATTGTTTTCGTCAAAAGTTCTTATAATCTTATAGGGTTTCCTCTTATATAGGATCTTATAGGAAAATAACATGAAGGGTATTTACTACACTTAATTCTTGTTAAATTCTTTTCAAAATGATGTATGCCCTGTAGTTCAAGTAGTCAATTGTAAATAACTCGTGCTTTTGAATTTATTTTGAATATATTGTTTTTTTTTTATTTTGTTTTAATTAAACCGAACCATATTTACTTATACGTATTATTGGACGAAATTATATTAGCAATTAAAATAATTGGAAAGTTTTATGACTTTAAAATTTAAAATTAATATAATTTTTAAGCCACGCGATTTAGATTAACGTAGGATATCTTAATTTGCCAGCACTATTTAAATTTCTAATAAATAATAACAATTTTCGGGATGGGTTATTGACTTTTGTTCTAAAAATATTTTGTATTTTTAGAATTTTATTGTTTTGTCCTAAATATCTTTTTATAACAAACAACAGAGATTCCTCCCCCGCCTTTTTTGATTGTGTTCAAATATTAAATACTACAATTGTTACAAAACTTACATCATTTACACTATTTACACACATATGTAGTAAGTTATCATTTATCGAATTTATTTGTAAAATTTTTGAAATAATTGCAGTATTAGTAAATCAAATTTTTAGCTCAAATTAACAATAATTTCATTGAACACTTCTAATTAAAATTTACAATAAACAACTGAACCTTACCTCACAAACTTTGGTTAACAAATTTTCACAACCGAAAAGTATTTCTCGACCGGATAAAACATTATTATAATAAAATATTCGTCAATCGACTATTTCGGCAAATACTTTCGATACATAACAACATTCGGTATGCTCGCTATGTGGAACGCATAAATCCTCAACGCATAACTCTCGCTCGATAGTTGAACATAGAATAACAACACTACATTAATCTAATGACTTTCTTAGTTGTTGCTTTACCGTCGATTGCCCACTCTTGATAAACTATATCGGAGAAAAATTTTGCATCGTTTTTTATTGGGATAATTGTTGTGTAAGCTCGCCGGAGAAGTGGGAGCGAAAAAATCGAAAACAAATTTTTCGCTCAAATCTACCGCTGGATTGTTTCGTAACCAAGTTCGTGAAGAGAATTAAAGATGAAATGGGGAGAAAACGTTGCATATGGTCAGGGAAATATTTAAGTATGTAGAGAAAACGTGGTACACTTGGCTGGCTTTGCGAGGAAATAGTTGAATAAGAAATGGAAGTATTAAAAAAAATATGTATGATAAAAAAGTATAATTTTTGTATTGTTTTCTGTGGCATGTGGTACCTATAATATTATTATTAAAGCAGCATATTAATTTTTTAAACTTTTCTTTTCATGTAAAATTCGTAAAATGTATACAGGGTGCCCAGAAAATAGATGTCAATAATTCGGAAGCGTATTTCATAGACAAAATATAAGACATCTTTCTTTCTCTATGGCGTATTTATTTATTCTATGTTTTTATTTATTCTATTTTATTCTTTTATTTTGTCTATGATAATACACCACAATAGTGGCTGTACATCTTATGACAAGGCACCAAAAAAGAGAATTTCAATTTAAAAAAGAAGAATTTTATTTTGACGTTTCTAGTTTCTCTCAATAACAGATAACAGCTGATTTCAGTGATTTTAAAACTAAACAAAAAACCTAAAATTTATTAAAACGCAAAAATGTCTTGTGAAATATCCGTAGTGGCAAATATTGAGGACGTCGACAAAGTTAAGAAGATACTATTCCCTTTAGAAAACGACAATGGTATAAAATGCAGCACATTTACTTATCCAGATTTCATACATAGTACTTACTTTCCAGGATCAGAAAACTGGTTACATTCCTGCAAAATATCGGTGTCTACAGTGGGTGATTTAATTGTTATAGCTAACGAGCGCACTCTGGTTGTTCTAACTCTCAAATGGGACTTTCAATCGTCTTCGAACGTGTTTCAAGTAACGTACAAAGGCTTAATTCATGATTACGATAAAGTGAAAGCCGTTCTGTGTCTAACGATTCCCGGCCAAAGCGCGGATTCGAAACTAACCACCGATTTGAATTGTATTATAATAGGTTACGATTCCGGATACATCAGATGTTACACGGAGAACTGTGATTTATTGTTCGAGGAACAGTTCCACGCTGAAAATATCGTTACCATGTCATGCAAGATGCAGAAAAACGCCAAAACCATTCCTTCTCTCAAAGAGATTTACATTCAGTACCAAAGTATTTTATGCACCCTTAACGGACAACAGTTAGTTTCCATTTTAAGAAATTGCGATGTGAATTCTCCCCCGAGCAATCAAGACATCGCATCTCTAATGCCAAAGAAATGGGGGTTTCAAGAGCAATCTGTCATAAACGATAGTGCTGTTGTTGGATTGAATACCGGGAACACATTCGATCATTTACTAACAGCTTCAACTTGTGGCGGTTTCAGTACAAAGTACAGGACCATGCCGCCTAATAGCACTCTAGTAATAGGGGCCGGTTCGAAACCATTTTTAGGTTACCACTACGCCTTAGAGGGCGGAGGCCAGCCGGTTTTAAGTGATGTAGCTAAAGCTGTCGCCAGCAAATTGAAATCAACACTTCCGTAAGTACCACAAAACTGGTGTAGTACCGCAATCATTCGATTTATTTTCAGAACATGGTTGGTAGGAAACAAAAACTCTCAAGAGAAGCAGATTTTATTTTCGGCGCAACCGGTGGAAAATATGGGTTGCAGATTTGGCCTGTGCGATATGAGACGAGCAGCTACCGATATCGTTCTTTCGCCCGATAATAAATTAGCGGCGGTTTGTGATACTTTGGGCCGCATTCTGTTGATAGATTCGTACAAAGGGATTGTTTTAAAAATCTTCAAAGGGTACAGAGAAGGGCAGTGCTCGTTTATTCAAGTACCTGACGAAAGACGGTCGAAATCCAAAATAGATAATAAAATGGCGCATTTTTTGGTAGTGTATTCGCCGAAAAAAGGAACTGTAGAGATTTTTTCCCTGCAGCATTGCTCGAAAATAGCCACTTTTACCGCTTCTAAACACAGTCGTTTACTGTATGCTAATTACGGTTTCAGTGGGTTTTCTACATCAAAAAGCAAACACATATGTACTACTTTATTCATAGACAATAACGGCTTGATAAAGGAGTTTTTAATACCATTCCATTTCACGCTTTCTGAGAAAAACAATAAGAAAGCCAGAGATTTGCATTTATACAAGAAGTTACGCCACTTGTTAAAAACTAGCGAGGAACTGAACGAAAAAATATTGAGCGAAGCGCTGAGTATATGCACCGAATTGAAAACCAACGACATTAAATACCAAGTCGTAAGTTTTCTCTTGGATAATAAGAGTTTATCGGCTGATTTTAGCCTGAGTTGCGTTGAATATTTCTTAGAAACTACTGACGATGAAGAGGGCAAAAATTTGAAATTGTTGTGCCAAAATGCAAGAGTTCTTCTGAAGTTATTTGCCTTTGCATCGGATACTAAAAACGAGGAAGAAACTATTGATAAACAATTCGATGAATTCCCGCTTGATGCAGAAGTCAAAGAAATGGTGGCACTGCGAAAGTTGCTGAGCTTAAGCGTAGAAAACGAGACTGCCAATGCAATGGAAACCCGCGTTAAATTTTCAGATCAATTCGATTTATCCCCGGCCCAATTCATTTCAATTTTTAACTACCCAACTTCCAACAGCTTGAAGCCGAACACGGACGCCAAAATTTTACATCGAATCTCCGAGTTTCTGTTTAAGCCTTACATCGAAGGCAACCTGCAAAATTTCGCCGAATTTCAACAGCAAATAACCGAATCTCAGATATCGTCGAAAAATCTCTTCGAGCTGCTGTTAACTTACTGGTCGAATCGACCTTTAAACATGGCGAAAAATTTGGAGGAATACATGAAGAAACTATTCACTCTTTTGAACATTCTTATAAAAATATCGGACGATGAAATCGACGAAATCGAGTACAACGAAATTTCCGATTTTTGGTCGCACATACGAAACATTTTAATTGATTCTTCGACACCCTTTCCGGCTCTCATAGCCGCCATTTTATGCAAAAGCGCAGCTCAAACGCACGGAAGACAATCCCATTTAGACGACTCATCAACTTCCTTAAACGACATGGAAGTTCTAACCCAAGAAGACGTAGAATGGAGCATTGCAATAGGTAGAGTATTGCCGATTTTGTTAACAACAATCATCAGTTTTTTTACCAGGTAAACTAGAAGACGTGTCCCTGCTGAATATAATTCTCTCGACTAAACCACCAGCTGACGGTCCATTACCGAAGCTTTCTTATGACAAAACCGACATCAGCTTGAAGTATATACTGCAAAAAGGCAAAGGTTCTGTAAGCGAGTTGGTTGCTCAATGGCTCACGACTACTGGATTCGATCCAAAACGTTTAATCGAACCCAACGAAGACGAAAATCAACCCGATGTTGATAAAAGCGCGCCGCAAGAGAAAATAATGGAAAGCTTGGGCTTGCTGAAGGAACAATTTCCCTACAGCCTTGAGACTAACTGCATTTTAACTAACATGTCTTGGGAATACGCCACGTCTTGGCAAAAAGACATGCACGATATGAGTCTCTTAAACGCTTCCATAAGTTGCTTGAATAATGTTCAAAATCTTCAAATTAAACAAGGTAAAATTATAATGTCTTATGAGCTACGTATGAATGTGAATCATTTTCAGGTCTCTATCAACTCCTTTGGAACGTGCATTTAAAGATCGTGAACGAGAACGCTTGTAAGTTGATAAACAAAGTGGGTAAGCTTCCCAAAGAGAGATTGTGCAGGCAAGATACCGGTTTGACCGATTACCAGTTGTCCTTATTCCTGAGCATTTCGACCGATTTTCTGGATTCTTTCATGGAAACGGCAAGAGCCTGTGTTAACGTGCCAAAAGAGCCGATAAAATTCGAAAACATATGGGAAAACGGCGGTAAACCTTTGGTGGAATTAGCTATGGAACAAAGAGACGTCAACTTTGAGCTATTATTTTTACACCATCAGCTCTGTTTGATACTCTTGATGACAACTACTTTCACCATCAAGCAATCGAAGCCCATCAACAACTTGTTCGATCCCAGCATCGTTAATTTGTTCTTTACGGATTTGCAGAAAAAAATCCAAATATACTCTAACAAATCCGACATTCGACTCAACTCTAACAGAATTCAGTTTCTGCTGAAAATAATTTCGGCCAGCGTGGAGGCCATGACGACCAACGAATCCGGTAAAATCTACTTCACCGATCACGTCTACTGGATGTCCAAGTGCGTCGATATGGGAAAAATCTGGAATTTAGAAGTCGATAGCCTTAGGAGATATCAAATCGTGCAATTATACGCGCGAGGCTTCGACGCGGTCGGTGAAGAACTCATCCCGACCGCCAGCGATAGCCAAGAACTGGGAAAATGCCTGCTGAAAGTAGCCGCCAAAAGGCTATCGCAGTTCCTAGTATCGTCTCCATCGCTTAGCGATAACATCACGGCTCTTAGTCCTGGTTTATCGAAGTATATCGATTCGCTGGTAAGTCGAGTAATTAGTTTTATTCGAAATAAGTTCTAGTTTGTTATTTACTACAGGATGATGAATGGTGTGCACCTACACCTTTAGAGGATATAACGATGTTGTCGACTCAAGTGGTGCATTGTTTGAGAGATGAGGAGAGTGAGTTTAAAATAGCGGCGGTTTTGCTAGAGGCTTGCAAGACGTTAGAAGACTTGCAGCATTGAAATAATTAGGTATTGTAAATATTAAAATAAATAACAATTAGGTAACAGGTTTTTACGTTTCACTTCCGTGCTGGAATTGATAAGAGGCCTTGATGATGAGGTCAATATTAAAGACCCAGTGACACACTGTACGAGATACGTTTATCGAAATATCCGCTACTTTATTTTACAAGTAAATCGACAATCAGTTGCTGTGAAATAAAATAAATAATGTACAATCGGTTTAAACTAAAATAAGAGATATCACTGGTTTTCGGCTAAAAAATTAAACTACGATTTTACATCGTCTTTGTATACGAATTCGAAATCGCTGCTGCTGCTGCTAGAATTGCTATTCTGCCTCTTGATCGGCGCCTCGTTTTTGTAAACCACCGATTTGACGAAATTCAATATCGTCCCCGAAAGCGGAGACGCCGACGCGACCGGCGCGTCGTTCTTCAACAACAATCTCTCGTCTTCGGACGAACTGTCTCTACTAAAATGCGACGACTCGAAACTTATATCTTTGTGCTCCGAGTCCGAATCACTGGAAAGTTCGCAGGATACGCTCCTGTTGGGAATCAGATCGTCTTCGTCCACGTCGTTTGCATTATCGATGACGTCCAAATGCGAAGGCATTCCGCTTATTCCGCTTATTAACGAAGTCGATACTGAATCTGCAATAGAAAAATATACTGGATAGAATTTGTAGTAAAAAATTTACGAGGGTAAGGTGAACAATTGTCGGCATGAATGAAGAAGTTGAGGGAGTCGCCAATGAATATTTTAGCAGCTTAACATACTCCCATTTCCAGGAAGGTGGACCAGTGTATTGAAGTTAAGGGAGATGTAGAAAAATAATATAATTTTCCAGAAAATCATAATCTTTCATTGTTAGGCCGATAACTTTTCACCTTATCGCCGGTAAGGATTCAGTTTAGGGAAGAGAGTTGAGGCAAAAAGGATTATAGGCGATTTCTAGACAATAAAATTCAGGTAGAAACACAACAAATAGCACAGGGTTTAGTATATACAATTCTATTACGATTTACAACGAGGTTTGAACTTTACAAGGACGAATCCAGGTAAAAAAATTCGTATTTTCTACAAAAACACCCTCGTAGTTCACTTACCTGCTGTTCTATCTGTTAAAAGACTGTCTAAATCATTATCTACATTAATAAAATCAGTATTGATAAAAGGAATCAATTCTTCTTCAGCTAATATCCCTAAAAATTAGAATTATATGAGTAACATATTTGCAGCTAATCATTTAATACATACCCGATACATTAAATACGGATTTAATACTATTTTTACAGCGTTGAGCTTGTTCCTCCGGCAACAATTTGAACCCTAATGGCAAGAAAAATGCGACTAATAGCGTGTAATAAATAAATTCGTAGCCTGAGATTGTTGATGCTATAATGCGGAGAACAAAGAACGCCAGCGACAATGAGATGCAAAACTACAAGAATATTATCATTAACTGGCTCTAATTCAGTTTCGAATCGAATCTTACCGTAGAGGGATTTTCCCGTCTGAGCGTCTTCAAGTTAAGTACTAGGTCGTAAATAGCAATCCTGGTGCTGTCGAATATGTCTGTGTACTTTGGGGTGTACTTTTCTGGATTCGTTAGCAGTGAATCCCACAGGAACAGAGCTAGGCATGATAGGAACAAAACGCTGAAAAATTTTACTTCTAGGTGCACCATTAACCTGCAACAATTCAGAATTAAATACACACAGATCAGTGCAAATTTGTACGCAATGTGGTCTATGGGTTCAACAAAAGACAACTTCCGCTAGTCCCATATAAAGGAAAAATAATGATATTATTATATTGCAACTTTCTTACTCTAACCACTGTTAGTTTAATCATCTTTCTTTGTTCTACTCATAGAATTGGCTATATTGCAAACAAATTAGCACTTATCTGTATATTAAAATGCATACAACTATTTTTTGTAATATTAACAAATTAGTGATGACTCGATAATTAAAAGTAAACAAAAATAAATGCAGGTGTTTTTATTTAACCAACTAATAGCAATCAAACATTTATAAAATGCATAAAGGAATATTTTTTGACAAACAACAACATAATATAAATACATGAAAAGAATCGAATTTTTAACGAAACGAATTTGCATGGGACAAAATTAATATTAATAAACCAAACACGGTGTTTCGTAATTAGATAAATCCACTAATATTACCTGTATACATAATAAGTGATGCTATTTATGGACCTCTATTACATTTTAAATACCTTTATTTATTCAAAACGCAATATTGACAACAATAACCGAATACCATTCTAATATAAGAAACGTGCAAATAATACGCGTCAAATACGTAAATCGAATAATTGAATTAAAATACATACCAAAATAGATAATTCAATACTAAAAGAACCACAAGGGTAAAACTAATATTTTCCCAACTTAATACGAAATAAACCTTCTCGAAATACACTTGGTATTTACTAGTCAGTTGCGGTTGTTGCGGTGCTGGTTTATTTCTTTGAAAATAAGGGTTTGCTAGTTTGAAAAATCGTTCTTTTATGAAATTCATTTTCTGCGATGTAAACTGTAAACTACGACTAAAACAAACATATTCTGTGTAAAACGTAAAATCTGTGGTCACAAGTCGTAAGTCAAAACGATTGACATTTGACATTTAAAAACTAGCGACATCTCATAGAGAAATTGACAAATAGCCAACTAAACAGATGATCATTGAAGAATTCTTACGTTAAACAAAAATTGTTTTCTTCATTTGTCGACAAGTGGCGTTAATTCGTTGGAATTTCCAGTCCTGCAAATTAAACCTGATTTTTTTTTAATTTTGATTGAAAAAAACACTGAAAAAAAACCGACAAAATTTAGAGCTATGAGAAATCCACCTTTAAAACTGAATTATACAATAGGATGGATACAATAACAAGATAAAATGATTGTTTTATTACTCATTCATGATTGATTCTAATTCATAAAAACGAGACAGCAGTACCAAACTTTTCTTTCATTATTAACCCTCAATAATTTTTAGACAAGATAATCCAATATATCCACTTGAACTTAATAAAATTTCTTCGCTTAGAATCCTAAAGCTTATTGTTTACAGGGCAAAAATTTATGAATAAGCCCGTATTTAGCGCTCCATTTAACGCTACTCAATCGATTAAAAATCTCTTTAACCTAAACAAATGTCCATAGTTAGAATCCATAACAAAACAATGTAAAACTGACAAGTTAAACAATGTCCATATAGTTACTCTATAACAACAATGCAAACTATTATATTGAACAGACTATTTAAACGGTTGATTAGCGTTAAAAAGGAGCATCACTGAATAGATACCCATCGCATTTATATCTACAATTACAAACCTACAGAGCTTCAATGTGACAGTAAAATGAATTCATAAAACCAAGATTCACTCTGTAATCTGTAAGTCACAAACGAAATCTCTCTATGAGTTTGATTTGTTAAAAGCTCTTTGCTCTGTTTACTATACGGTTTTGCACCTGCCTATCCTCCGGCAACGAGTGGACGGGGCTTCGAACACCACGCCTACCTTGCACCAATAAAAACCGTCGTGTAGACGCTCATCGTCCAATCGGAAGGTTCAAATTGTACGCGCAAGGAGGCATACCTCGAGATGTGCCTATCCAAGATGCACAAGAAAAATGCAACAAGTAATGAAGATTATTTTTAATTGAGTAATTTATGCTAATTGCACATATAGAGCGTGTATGGATAGATAGATAAATTCCTCATAAGGATTAAGATGTAACAGATTTTTTTTCAAGGTTACTGTTCTAATTGCTCATCGATATATTTCTATTCGTATTTACTTATTTCAAAAATAGATATAATATTATGCAGCTGCAATCTTCCTCTTTATTCCTATCTGGATTTTCACTTGAATGAGTAATAAGGAGATGTATACTGATGTTATATACAGGTATCTATATAAAAATTCTCATCAGAGTCATTTAAAACACGAATTCATTGTGATAAGAAATGTACTTATCCTTACTTGTTGTTTATCAGATTTCACAATTTTAAAAATTTGTAGGTTACTGTTCTAACCCATCATTGATATCTCCCGTTAAAATCCCCAAGTTTCTAGGGATATTATACCTAATAAACATTTAACACTCATATTATTGTTATAATAAATAATTATTTCGGTCGATGAGCGATCGATAGCGATGCACATTGCATTGTGGTCACCGGGTATTCCTTGCAGCGACTCAAACACCGTCTCGTGTTTTGCTTCTGCGAGCACCTGCCATTCGAATTCGAAAGAGACTGTACCTGCGGAAACCACGTGTAGAAGAAGGTGGGGATTAGATAGACTCAAGATCTGAGGGTCAAGTTTAGTGCCTAGTTCAGTGCCACTCATGCAAGGCTGTAGCCCGATATATCACACCGCGGATAAACAATAACAATTACTCGTGGATCTCGCGGTTGTATCACAATTTTATTATTTAAAAACATTAGCGCAATTAGATTCGTTGTAGAATTTGTTGGGATTGTAAATTATGTGTTAGAGACTCCGTAGTAAAAATGGAAACGTGCGTTCTAATTCCGCAGGAGTTCAGTTTGTGCGTCAGGAGTACGGGAATAGGCAGCAGGAGCAGCCGAGAGCCTGAAGTGTCCGTGTGGTCCAATACCGATATTGCACAAGGAACATTATGTTATCCTTTTCAAGGGACAATCAGAATCGATAAACTCGAAGTATACGGACAATTGGATGATGACGATGTAAGTAATATATTTATTTATTTATTTATTTATTTGCTCATCATTAGATGCACAATGGTATTTATAATACTGTGTGTGCATCCCTCACTTAACAAATGATATGATTATTGTATATCACTTTATATTTAAAAACTGAAAAACTGTGGATATTAGTAGAAAAAACTAAATCCAAATCGCGTTTCAAAGTATCCTTAAAAAATTATAATTTATAACCGTACACAGTTTTTATTTACAATAATAAAATCAATCGAATTAATTATCTGTGAGAATTCGTTTAAGAATTCGTCTGCTGGCGTTCTTGCTTCTGGTAATTATGCTAATAATCCTGATAAATCACCGAATTTATTACATAAAAAATAGTGTTTTGGAAATTAGCCAAATTTATTGAAACGATGGTTTTCCGTGAGAGCGGAAATGACTTTGATCTTTGGAACCAGAACAGGAATAATAAATATCGGAATTAACTAATTTAGAAAACAGAGGTGTAAGCTTGTAAAGGTAAAATTGATTCGAGGGAATTATTAATAAGTAGTTTTATTTTCTTTATTTGACATAAATTTGACATGACTCCTGCACCATTTTTCATAATATTGGCGGATGAGTGACTCTATAACGATTTGAAACTGGACTGGTAGGTAAATAATTAGGATAAAATTAAATGAGATATAAAAACATCCAAAAATATTCAATTTTAAATTTGAATTTTTATGGGAAATACCATGCACATGAATTGTTTTGTTTACCTACCCAATGAAAAAATTAATAAAATGTATAAATAATAATATAGTTAAGTGTAATAGTATAGTTACATCTAATTATGTTATAGAATAATTATGACAAATTTCACTCACACCCTCTCATTCTCACCTACCCACAACTCGTCGAAAATAAAATAAGACGTCCCATAAAAATCTAGTGCGTGCTAAGAAGCTTTTAAATCTGCTTAATAAATCCGAATGACATAAATTCTCGAAGGGAATCTTCGATAGATGTCAAATCCATACGGGGCGTAGGCCACTATACGAATGATAATTCCTCACCGATAAGTTTAGATATAATTGCGATCGAAGGCTTGTTTATCACCTTTCAGGTATACGGCTAATTTAAATATATGAACTCGTTTCTCGTAATTTTCATACCTATACGGACATGGGCGTTCGTACGCGGTGCACAAAGAGGACATTGGCAGCTGCATGAAAGCGTGATAGCAGCAAAAATACTATACATGTATTTTCAATAAATTCCTAAAATACATTGATGGATTAAATTTCTAAAATAAATGACACAAATATAATTTATTGATAGGAACTATCAAAAGGTGTAAGTTGGAATATTTACATTTATTAGACTTGGTAATCTAATTGAATGTAATGATATTTACCTACGTAGGTTTCTTTTATAAAAATAACCATTGGATGAATTTTGTTTTATTTTGAATTAGCCTTGTAAAATTCTGCGGTTAATGAAATATATCATAAATATTTCCATTTGTAATGGCATTTAGATATTTATAATGGCAACCGAATTAATTAATATAAAAAAACGAATCCTTTTGATGCTATTTTATTGATCTAATTTATCAATTTTTTAACTAAAACTGGATTTCTACGAATTTTTATTACATGTTGATAGTCAATTGAGGAAATCGTTTATATGCAAATTCACGAAAATCGATTTCAAAAATATGTTATAATTACTGTTACAGCTATTTGTGATCTAATATTTTATCAATTCAGATTTTGGTCCGATTTTTTCACTGATCCTGGTGCTACAAGTATATCTTAAATTTTCTTTAAGTAGGTAATTTAACAAGCAATTTCATGACAAAAATGATAAATGATACCTGCTGTGATGGCATTTTTATAGATAGAACCCAGTAGGTATAGTAATATTTTATTATAATATCACAGCACATTTTTGAGTTATCTTTAGGTATAGGTACCTTAAATTTCAATTAATTTTTTTTAAGTTAGTCTATAACAAACGGAAATAAGGCAATCATTGATAGAAAACAATTTTCTTCGAAAGAAGTAAGCGGCGCCATAAATGTTCAAATTTATTGCAAGACTTTAGTACCTCTCTACCAAACTGGCTGAATTTCTTTCGACTGATTTTACTCGCGAGTAAGTATTTACTTTTAACGAGTCTCTAAACCTGCCTTTAATCTGCCAACTTCAATTGAAATTCGAAGAGAAAAGCCCCGCGGGTTGATTGAATGCTTTCCTGCTAATTAGAACGTTTTATGCAAAAAATTAAAAGCTCGAAAAAACGCTAATTAAGAAAAGGAAAAGTTCGAACGTGTAAGACTTCTTAATGACATGAAAACATCCGAATCTATTAGTCGTTTTTTCTGGATGAAAAAAGCTTGCTGCCTATATCTAGCAGGAAAAGAAATCACCCGGAATAGTTACGTGCCGAGGTTGTGTTGCTGATGATAATATAATTACACATTATGATATGTTAGTCTGACGGAATGTGCTTCGATGTCGGCGATTCAAGATCTTTTTATTTGAATTTTTCTATATTTTCATTGAAACAAAAACTTATATAGAACATATAATATTAAAACCTAAGTCAAGCAAACAGAAATCTATTCTATAAATGTATGTGGTTTCTTTATAATAACATTTCTCAAAAAAAATCGAAATTACATCCATACTTAATCACATTAATGTCATCCGCTGCAGTTATAAGTATCTAACTGCATAATTAATGAACGAATGTCCTTCCCGAGGAAAATGCGGAAAAAATTTTTAATTAGAATGTCTGAGCAGCAAATAGCTAATCTCACATTCATGAATGCATTGGGCCTCAGTTATTTACTTTCGAACGATCAATCAATATTACTATTCATTGCACCGTGTTGGTTATTGTTATTGTTATGTTTTTTTACCACACGCATTTTACTATTATTATTCACAGGATGTGTTAAATATAGGTAAAGTACCTACTGCAAAATTAAAGGTAGTGGTGAAAAATAAAACAATTTTAAATGTAGATACGTGTATAGTAGTATAAGAAATACGTGCTAGGTACACAGTTATATGTTGCTAAATTTCGTTTCGAGTTGTAGCTAATTGAAACGGTTGATTTATGAACCTGGCCTAATTTCGAGGAATAATAGAATGTTATCGGAAAATGAAAAATACTTAACAAACCCACTTAAATTGGACGTTTAACCATCCGTGGACACGGAACGGCTACCCGCTAAGTTCTAGTGGAAGTCACGATCATTCATAATTAATTTCTTGTAGCCAGGTGCAGGCCTCCTCAAGAGATCTAGCGGAAAACGTTCGTTTTCTCCACATAAAAATCCGCCTTTGTTTCAACAATAAGCAGCATCAATTCCCCAAAGCCTCGCATTTTTTTTGAGCCAAAAAATACCGAGCGGCATCGCAAACGCTCTTACTCGACTAATATTTCCCGAGAAAGTTTGAGGTCCTTTCTATCGCGCAATAGATACATAGGTAGTAGGAAGAAAAAAATCGATAGCTCGCCAACCAGTAAAACAAGTTAACTGACACTACTGTAATATCGCCGAGCTCTACACAAATGAAGTAGTGAATGGCTCGTAAGTGATAGCTCGGAGCAAAGCTTGTGCATTCTGGTGTGCCCAACCGGAGTCGGAGAAAGAAGAAGAATACTGAGCACACTTCGTTCGTACGGCCTAAGGCGCAACTATTATGAAAAGAGCAAGGAATTGGAGCAAGGTCATTGTCCGTGGACTTCAATTCGATCAACTGGAATTGCGATGTTAATATGACTTCGGATTAAAATATGTATATCGACGGATTATAATTGCGCGAGAGGTTCCGATCGAAAAGAAACTCTTAATAATCGATCGATATAAATAGAATCGACGTAATTTCTAATGCTTTTATTAGCTCGTATTTACTGTTTTTTCAAGAATTATGTATTATTTCATGTCAGTATTGCAAATCTCATTTAATCACTATTTTATTTATATTAATGGTACGGTATTAATTGAGTTATTAGATGACTGCACCACGTTATACACTAACTCTACTCGTACTATTTTTAACATGCTATAAGTGTTTTTAAATGAATAAGGCAATTCATTTTAATGTAATTCTTTCGTATTTATAGTATGGGTTAAAAATTATGGATTGTTTACTAGAAAACTGGTGGATTTAATTAAGACGATGGATAACAAGCAAAATCAATATTCAATCTCAATACAGGCATTAAGTATGAAAATATATTCAAAAGTAATTTACACTAAATCTAGAAGGATTCTCGACAAATCGCCTTTGAAACGAAAAGGAATGGGTGTCATTTATCTGGTAGATGATTGGAGAGCAAACATCCATTAAATTCTACCCACTCTTAATTACGAATAAATTAGAAATTTACTTAATTATTTGAGACCGTGATAGATAGAGAACCGTAGGTATCCGCTACAAATATAGGTAACACACCATTCTAACCTAGATGGCTATCGCGGTGGAGCTTTTCTACACCGAACCTAATTGTTGCGAACGTTTTTATAGCGGAATAAGTTTTAGGACCACAAGCTATCTGTAGCCAAGTCGCCGGCTAATATATTAGATGTAAATTTTTATGTTCGATGATGAAACGTACTATACAGTTTTTCTGAAACACTAAATCAAATTTGTAACGTCTCTTGCGGGCAATAAACAACTTTTAGTCGTAAAGTACTAGTGATATGTGGGCATAAAGACCTGAGAGATCTAGACCACGAGGTGTGTGTGTATGCGTATATCTGTGAGGACTACCACAGAGATGCGACCTCTATCACTAGGAGTGCCAATACGTTTTCCGGCGTTTCGCCTCATCATATAAAAAAAGAGTGTATGTGCCGTATTCGAGTATAAACTGCACTCAAAATTTTCTCTTCAGAATCATCCTACAAGTATATTAGGTCAAGTTTTATAAAACTAGTCTTGCGTTTGCGGTATCTCCACGTTAACTTAAAACTACTACCATACTCCATTGTATTTGTAATAAAATAAATTTCG